GAGATGAAATCTGCTACAGGCAATAGACTGTCTGAGGTTAATTAACACATTTAACCTCATAGAGTTAATTCAATCAAACAGACGGACCAAGTTAATCTAATCTAATTTAAAACCAGTAGAAACGATTGCTCTAATTTATCTCTTCAAGTGGCTATAGAAGAAAAACAAATCCGAAAAAAAAAAAACATAAATTGCTACTGAAGTCGGTGATGCTTGCTCATATTACTGATTGCTAATATTTATTTACATACATGTACATGCCCTTTCATTGTAGAATCATTTGGAAATCAGTCCAGATCTCCTGATAGAAAGTCCTCATTTTGTTTATAATTCATTAGAAGATCTTGTACATAATCACAAGGTTATGGGCACCCAATATTGTTAGGAGCCCTAGTGTACAATGTTTGTCCAAACTTACCTGAAAAATTGTGTTTCCAGGCACATTTGGGTGTAGTTAAGTATTGTGAGGGGGGGGGGGGAGGGCTGTCCTAGTAATTAGATAAACAGATCACAGTGTAGACTATATAATATATATGTTTGGTCAAATTGGTTAACATGAAGTTTTGTATTCACAACAAAAATATTAATTGCAATAATTTAGAATATTGAATAAATTTATTCAAAGATTAATTGTATTATATTTCATGCGATATTAAATATATTATGAAGGCAAGCTTGATCTAGTCAACCTTCTTTAAACAAAGGACATTTTACAGTCTGTCACAGGTTTAAGTTACCAAATATGCACACCAACTGGAATGCATTATTATTGTCATCTTCATTGCTCATTTTATACTGGTCAATCTGGTGCCATATTGTTTTAATTATTCAAATTGTTTTAATTCGACCTGATATGTAGAACAAAGCAATCACAAGAAATGCATTTTATCATCTGCTCTTCTTAATGGAGTTTTTGTCTCAAATAACAATGGATTAATAATAGATGTGTGTCTCTGTCACTATCCATTATTATTATTATACTTGTATGTAATTTAGCTGGGAGTTAGCTGGGGTAAATAAGCTAGCATTTCCCTCATTAAATAAAAAGTGAAAGCTTTATTTATTCCTATTTAAAAATGATAGTATGAAAGTGCTTTGGTAGTTTACTGGGGTAAATAAGTATTTCCCGAAAAAACTAAAAAGTAAAAGCTTTATTTAATCCTATTTAAATAAGAGTGTCTATAAGTGTTTGGGGGTTTGCTGTGTATTAAATAGGCCTAAGTATTTCCCCCTCAAAAAGATAAAAACTAAAACCTTTATTTATTCTTGTTTATAAAAGAGAATCTACAACCAAGCCCAAGATTTGTGAATGAAAAAATATAATTACTTAAATTTCATTCAATTTCCTAATCATTCAAATTTCACACTAGTCAAATTTCAAGCCAAGAATAATAATATCTTGACTACATTTCAAAGGAGAAAAAATAATCAGCCGGTTTTGTTACATAATAAAGTTTGTTTTTAGAAATGTGAAGTACCCGATATATAACAGCTTACACCCAGTAACATATAGAGCAGACAGTATTCTTATTACATTACATATATACATGACCCTGTCATATCCTGCACCTATTATTATAAATTATAAACGTCTTTAGGCCCACAAAGATGTATTTATATTACGAATATTAGGGTTAGAACCGAAATTTATTTAAAGGGTATCTCTGAAAAATAGTAAGTCTGTCTGATATGGTTCACATAGCTTATGGCATGTTTTCCTTTGACATTTCGGATGGGCTGTTTTTCCATGGTTTTTTTCTAATGTTGCAAATCTTGGAGAAAATATATAACCAGTTATATAATAAGTTTCTGATTTCTTAAAAACATAGGATTTCATTCATTAAATATTTAGTGTGGAAGGAAAAATCATCTATCCATTTTAAGCATAACAAAATTGGTGTAATAAATCAAGAGGGTGGTTATTATTATGGTTATTTATATATATTTCTATATCAAAATTGCTATGCACAATGCATAGTGCCAGATTAGTGTGGTATTTTTTTTAAATTTTATGTAGCCTTTTATGTGTTTCTTAATTGCATTCATTTGAAAATGACTTCCAAGCTTATAGCTTAGGATTTCACCAAGTATGAATTTGTCACTGCATACACACCTCAACTTTATATTATACTAGATAAATATTAATATGTGTGTTTGTTGTATTATATGTACATGTGTTTTGAGATATTCCATTCACAAATAATGCATAAATGAATGGTTTAGATCTCTACATTATACTAGTGTATTCTGTATTTCATTCGTATATCCTAACACACTTAATGTACACTATAAAACATTATGTACTATACATGTATGACTGTTACAATATTATAGTCAAGGGTACAGTTTTAGCTATATGGTCAGTATCTTCACAGGCATTTTCGGCGTGGCTAAAGTGTATACTGAGATTAAAATGACTACCGGAAGCTTTTCTTAACTTATCACAGTTACAGAATTAAAAGCATTTTGTGTGAATCATTTTAATAATGATCGAGAATTCTTATCAGACTGTGGTTGTGAAACGACTTCCGATGAGTTCCAAGGGTGCTTAATAACCCATTGCTTATAACAAAGTTGGCATGCATGAATTCATCCCAAACGTTCGCACATTGTTATTCAAGAGTCCTAGAACATACTCAGCCATTAAAAACACAATTATCGAGCCAATCAATGGAAATAGTTGGCTTTTGCCAAAGAGGTACAAAATATTTTGGCACCGGCACCGGTTACAGTATATTTTCATTTTCATTACATGATTTTGTTTTTTAAAGAATTATACAAATGTAAAAGGCTTGTCAATATAATATACTTCATGGATGTATGGTTTCCCCTTGTCAGTGATTCAGGACGTTGGGATTGGCAAGGACAACTGTCTAGTCATTCGTATGGGATAAAAACCGAGGTCCTGTATACACATTGGCGTGCACATAAATTAACCTGTGAGAGTTGGAAATCGATATAAGTGTGACTGTCCAGACAAAACTTCCCTGATAGGACACTGAATGGTGTATGTCTGTCGTCATTAGCCCATTCGGTGCAGAAAAGTAGGACATTAAACAAAACCCCATTTCATTTCATACATACGTGTGGTAATTATTAGGTCTTTGGTATTCTGACATTTGGATTTAAATGTAGTTGTTATGTTTTTGTGTCTTTTGTTTAACAGTTTTCTAGCTTAGAAAAATCAGTTTCTTAAATTCTACCCCATTACCCTCCACATTTTGATAGTTTTGTGACTGCATCTATTAAAAGACAGTAGCCTACTGCTGCAATTTTGCCATTTTAATTCTTTTGTCTGAGATAAGATTGCATCTGTCTGTATCTTATGACTCAAACTTCTGAAATGTGTCTGCTGTGTACATGTGCATTGATAGGGCTCTTTTATTCTTAGATATACAATTACATTAGAAATATTCTTTTTTTCAAATATAGCATTATAACATTACCATTATTAAAGGAGTTATTAATATGATTAAGATGGAAAAATGATCACCACTTTAAATGAGCACATTATTAAAGGAATTGTTAATATGATTAATATGGAATGATGCCATTATCATCCCTTTAAAGTAGCTAAGTCTCTAACTCAATATCATACAAAGTCTTGCACGTTGAAAATACGAATTATTTGTCAATTTAAATCAACATTGATGTTGTGATCTTACAAGGAAAAGACAGGCTTCTGATATCCAATATTTAAGACAAAATAAACATTTTACCATTGGTACACGAATCGTGAACCATGGTGCCTTTTAGCGTCATTTGCAACAAGTGACCAGAAAGAACGAGGCTAGACATATTTAACTGGAGAGCCTGCTTAATAGACTGGAATAACCAGATGCTAGAAATTGCTATAGGGTTGAGACACATGCCGTATTTCGCTGGACATAACTGATTTGAAATTAGAGTCAAAACGGAAACAGTTGAATGTAAATCAGTTTATATACAATCAGATTACATTATTATATGCATGGTGGTCCATTTGGGTCAATTTCTAGGTCCCAAATATTAGCGATTTAGCTCCTTTAAATGTGAACATTATTAAAAAAAGAGTTATTAATATGATGAAGATGGAATGATGCCATTATCACCACTTTAAACAAGTTAAATTAATATGATTAAGATGGAATGATGCCATGGTGAGTGTAAATCATAGAAAGTAGGACACTAACACCTAATTTTCAGCTGTAATCTTCTTTCTAACCTTACATAAATAAACTGTGTTGGGTGTTTATTAAATTATTGCTAAATATAACAACATATAGAACAACATATTTGTATATGTTACTAGTCTATGATTAAATCACAATATTTAGGTCCAGTGTACCATATACACAGTATGGTAACCAGTACGCAAAGTAATAAACATTCATCAGTACATAGTAGATAAAATATACACACATGATATGCACAAAATGCCTACAGGGAGCAGCATACAATTACAAAAATTACATTTAATACAGCACAACAATATAGGCTACACACACCCATGTATGATGTACACATTGTACTTGTAGTACACATTATTACAAGACACAGTAGATACAATACACACACATGATATACAAACTGTACACATTATTAATTATAAACTTACAATACATAGTACATACAATATACACACACCCATGTCTGATATACACACTGTACTTGCAGTACACATCACACCACATAGTAGATAAAATATACACACTGTACACATTATTAGTTACAATACATAGTAGATACAATAATAATATACACACATATATGTTTGATATACACACTGTACTTGCAGTACCCACTTTGCAAATAATAATACACAATAATATATATAGTGTTGTAAACACACATAATATACAATAGACTATTTTAGAAGTAGAACTTAAATATACACAGTTGTATGGATATAGTGTCTACTTGATGTAAGATGTCAATAAATCTATGCATCTATGTTTATTAAAGTATTTTCTGTGTAGAATATAATATTATGTAAAAAATTCAATTATTTTATATTACAGGTTATTATGTCTGGCTTAATGGTGCTGATTTTATTCTGGAGAAGGAATATGTGTTTGGTAAGTTTCAATCAGTTCTCTTATAAACTATCTATCAATTAGTTTGGTAGTTTGTACAATGAACCTTTTGAAAAAGATATCATTTTAGCAAACCACTTCCATCAGTAATAAGGTTTCTTAGGCAATGTGCCTATGAGCAGCCATTTGTTTGGTATTCCAACACTGTAATAAGAAGATTATTATTATTATTATTATAGTATGTTTTAATATGCCTACATCATTATTCCCTGCAGGGTGGTCATATACTCCTGTCCATTAATTTCTTCTAGAGATATTGTACTTGCTCATTTTGATTTTGAAGGATCTTGTGAATACTCTAGTAACAAAAGTTTTAATGGGGATTCTCTCAGATAAAATGAAATGAATTGGGGTTTAACAACCTATTTTTCTGTTCCAAACACTCTAATGAAGACAAGCATATGCCATGCTATGTAGTATGATGGAAATTTTGCCCGGACAGCTGCGCTATGGCCTTATCTTATTTCAAATATCAACTTCAAAGGGTTCTTTAATGTGTATGCCAACGTGTACACGGAACCTTATTTTTTCACCCCCCACCCCCATCTGAACGACTAGACACTGTTCATTGCCAGGTCGTCCATCCTGCACTTCAGTCTGTTTCACAGACAATTACGAGTAGTAATATCTCTGTCAAAGATGACTGCCTTAACACGTGCCATCACAGCACGCAGGGTCAATCATTGGCTGAATTGCACGTGCATTGCTTACATAAGACGTTACTGCTTTGGGCGGAATGCTGCCTTTTAGTCATTTTAATACCCATTTACACTAAATAGGAAATAATTTTTACCTACAAATACATGAAACGCCTTTATTTATTTTTGCAATACATAAAAAAAATGTTTTAGAATTTAATTTGTCGCAGGAAAAAAGTTAATATTTCTGGCTCATTAAGTTGAATCGATGTCATCCTTATCAGTGATTGTAGCAGCCTAGCGAAAATTCACTGCTGATCAGTGTGTCTTCACTTTTTAAGAAAACATACATTGAGAACACTATTATATCTGTCTATTATAACCCTTATCAGAATTTATAAAATTTGTAAGCAAAATTAGATACTAAGTTGTTTTTGATTAGAATTTAACAAGTTAAATCTTTATTTATTTTTTTCAGGTGTTTAGCTGTGTATTTGTTAATGTGGGGACAACTTTTGTTAATGGTATAGCAGCCATATTGTCTGGAACCTTAATTATTCCTCCCATTCAGAACTTTCTCCATTGTACATTCATGGATGTAAAGAAAGAATGCCATTGTTTGTCACCATATAGTCGTTCCTCAGTACATCTAGATTATTCAGTGAAAGGTACATGTAATAAAAATATATTTATTCATGAATAATATTCTTTGATGAAATATATACCGGTATTATGATAATAATGCAGTGAATATTCTATTTTGGTTTATAATCCTCAAACTTTATTTTGCTGCATTTATTTAATTTTTATTTTAGATGAATTACTACTTGTAATCCTTACACTTCAAATTATTATCATACTCTTAGCATTGATATAGTGAGCCACCATTTTTGTTTGAAGTCCTTTTAATGAAGTAGCATGCAAATTTCTATTAGCTCACTCAACACATTCAGCTTTTTATCCAGTCAGGGAGGGATATTAAAATGGGTTCCGTCCTGCTGTCACGATTTTCATTTTCGGAGTATATCTCATAATAAGTTCAAAATATCTTTATGAAACTTTGTACACACATCAACCTTTTACAGTAGTTATGCTTTTTGCTTATTAAAGATTTCTTGGATTTGATCATTTGTGTGTTTCAATGGGAACAATTATTATTCTGGATCATATCTTATAAACCATTCCAGACATCTTTATGAAACTTTGTGCACATGTCACACATCTACCTAATCCCTGTTTTCTGGGATGCCTGATGCTATTTGATATACATCTTACAACATTTACATTACTACCAATAACACAGAGAATGTCTATCCCTTTACATTCAAAAAATTTGCTATGTATTGATTGATTGATCATAGAAAATCTGTTCTCTAAGTCATGGAAAAAAATACTGTACAGTGACACAGTCTTAAACATGTGAGTAATAGAAATTGTTTTTCTTTTGCAGCGCCTGTCACCTTAATTTTTCAAGAGACCTCAAGTTGTCATGATATTGAAGTGACATTACTGCAAATTCAATTTGCTTTGTGTGGAATATATGTTGTAGCTGCCATTATTTGTATAGTAGCTGCCATCCTGGCCTTGTTAGTGATGAGAATGGAAAGACAAAGGACAGGAGGATATCAGGTACTGAACAATTGTTTTATATAAGATAATGGTGTGCTAAGTTATAACAAACTGTATATTTCATTATAAATACAGAGTTATTACTTGAGTGCATTGAAATCTGATCATATATTGTCGCCACCTCATCCATCATACACAAGTAAAGCTAGGGTAATTAACCGATTGACTTGAAATTTATACACAGTGTTTATGTTTATAGACAAAGAATTACTATCATCTTTGATCAATTTGAAAAATTCTGTGTATGCACTATGCCATAGGGTAAAGTTATTATTCGATTTACTTGAAATTTTTATAATGTTTAAGTTTATGAGAGGAATTTAAGCTTCATGGGTTGTTACTCTTTGTCAGTGTTTAATGTCTTGTAGATGCTCCATTTACCTACATGTACAAAAGGAAAAAATTGGCAACATATAATTTAACTAAATATTGCAGGCAAAAAAAAAGACAATTTTGGAGCATATTGAAATGCTAGTTTATTATGTGGAAAATATTATTAATTGTAAGCAATCCGGTTCCAGTTAATATTATACAATTAAATAACTTTTTATTTCTGATTCTGTGTCATTTAAAGATATGGTGACATCATTTGTTTTTTCTATTTTCAGGATGATACCTATGAAGAGATATTTACCATAAGTAATTCTAATACACCAGAAACATCAGATAGTGAAAATGAACATACTAATATGTTATCTCCATCCATGGGGCCTTGTTATGGTGATTTAGACAATACTCTTCCTGATTCTGATAATGGCAGCTCTCAATTACGCTCTAGTTTACGAAGGAGCCAAAGTTGTAAACAACCTCGTGCAGAAACAAATAATTTGGATATTTTTAACAATTATGTTGCAAAGGAAAAAGGAAACACAGCGCCGAAAGGAAAATTAAAAGAGCATCGTCGTAGAGACAGACGGGCTGTGACGCTACATAATCTAGACTCAAAACAGTTAATGTTAATATTGAGCCTTCAAATGAGATATCTGAAGGAAAATGAAAATTCAAAATCGCAAGTTGAACTAAGTGCTAAAAAACTGGACGAACAGTTACGTCGTTCCTACACTCCTCAGCCATATCATTCCCGTTCACAGTCATGTGATTCTGATAAAGATGTGCGATTGGTACGTTCTCATACACCCCAACCTTATCAAATGGCAAGAAAGCAACAAATGTATGAAAACACACAAAGTGTTCAGGCAGCACAAATGAATGAATTTTATGAAAATAACATTCCTCCATGGGAAAGAAACCAGCTAACACCGAAATCTTCCAAACAAGTTAGCCCCGACAAGTCCACGTGTGAGAAGCGAAAGAGTAATTATGTTCCGCATTACGAGGAAATTGACGACGTTGTTAGTTATATGAGTAACGATGAGGATGATAAAAGAATTTACAGCAACCAGACTGACATCAAGTCACAGAAGAAGAAAAAGACAAAACCTAAAGTCAACATTGATAGTGAAGAATCTGAATTGTCTGACATTCCACCACAACGCATTCGACGACCTCCGCATCGTAAAAATGTCTCAACAAATGAAACAATTCTACCCAATAATATTCCAGTTATGCAAAATGCCATTCCTAACACAGCAGGAAGACCAAAAAGTTATATTAATGCCATTGATAATGTTGTCAGTGAGGGTGGTATACCTGCAGATCTTTATGAACCAGTACATTACCATGGTGATACTATGGTACCACATGCTCAGTCTCAGCCAATCATGTTAAGGCACAGCGATCCTGCTAACACTGACACTCTACCATGTCGAGGCATTCATCCCATGGAAGATATTTATGCTCAACCACGAAAAAAGAAAAATCCAGGTTCAGCCTTCCAGAGAATTCCAGATAGCATCTCAGCACCAGTTATTGGTAGAATTCCTGATGGCAGTGACAGACGGTCAGCATTTCACGTGGTGAAAAGGTCAAGTGAAGCAGGAACAGGAATTGTTGGTTTTATCAATCCCGTTACCAACAATAATGTTGCTATGTACCCGGTCGTTGATCGAAGAAAAGGTTTTGATGCCCCACCCCCTTACTCACCGCCTCCGTGCTACAGTGACTGTCTAACTAATTCACGAGATAGTTCTCTCAAATCGTCTTCTAGTTCTCATTCCGCTAATCTTAGTGACAATATGTATGGCAAAGTTAAAAATCAGAAATCAAAATTTATATTTACTCATGATCCCGGTCAGGCCATGGTTCAACAGTCCAGTTCTGACTATGGTAACTATGGCAATTATGGACATCCTCAGTGTTATGATGGTGGAGTTGTCTATGGCAACATTGGAAACCATGAAAACAGACAATTTTTAGGAAATGAAGAAAAGTTAGACCAGCTTCCTCAGTTTTCATCTCAATATCGAGCTAATTATGTGATTAATTTAGATCAAGAACAACCTCGTGTGGCTATTCCTGGAGAATCGAGTGACTCTGATGAAATGGAAACTGTTATTTAGTGATTCTTGCCTCAATAAATAACACATTCATGGTTACTTGAAGATAATTAAATGTGCTAAAATATTCAATGCCATTATTCATTTGCTGTTGCTTATATGTAAGAAGAAATTGTCAAATTGTAAAGCGATTATTGACTGTGGTTTTAAAAATGAAGTTTACTAACCCAAGTTTTAATGTACATTTTCTGTAAAGCAAGAAATTGTTACAACATGAAATTATTGTGGATCATGCTTTACTAAAATGCAGCAAAAATATATATAGCTTGCAAGAGCAGTGTGATATTTAAAACATGTGCCTTTACCTTCTACAATTTTTATACTTTTGATAAATAGAAACCTAAAGATGAATCTCTAATTCTGATGAACATGACTGTATTATAAACATTATCATGAAATGATAGTCAATGCAAACCCCTCGTTTCAGTCCAATTTGCCCATCTTAACAGTGACAATTACTGACTGGAGAAGTTATCTCTCAGTCAGTTAACATGCCATGAAATTAGAAATACATAGAATTTCAACTTAAAACCATGGACTGTGTATACGTTCCATGTTAAAACACAATAAATAATATTAAATTTTTGTAAAAAATGTATTTAATAGTTGGGATAATGCTAAAAATTGTCATGTTATTCTTTTAATACAAGAATATATTTCTAAAGAAATTTGGAAAGCCCCAAGTCAAAGGTTTCCAACCACAAATGATGAGATTGTGCTTTGAAAATAAAAATTGATTGTATAAGTAAATGTGTATGTATAAGTAAATATTAACAGTTTGCTTCCCAAGTTAACAGTAAAGAACTAAAGTTTGTGTGAATGGAAACTTCTGAGTAATTACATATGCATGTGTATCCTTTTAAAAATACAGCTGTATGTAAATTTTTTATTCTTGAGTACATGGCCATACTGGTATACATGTATTTTGAAACACAACACCTGCATCCCACCCAATGAACTTTGCCATTTATATAAACTGACACTTAATCATATACATGTGTTAATATCATTCATATAATAGTCAAAGATAATGTAATGGTGATCAAATTATATGTTAAAAATAACTATACCTCAGTTAAAGGGACAACATTCCCAAACTAGTTTAGAGTTTGACAAAGATCCATGGCTACCCCCCCCCCCCTCCCAAAAAAAGAAAAAAGGAATGGGGTACCAGGTGTTTAAAAAAGAAATACTAACATGCCTTGTGTACAACACCCATAACAACTAAATCTACCATCTGAATTTATGACTACTTTTACATTAATTTAGTTACTATTGATTTCATGCATCGATCTTTTTGTCAGTGAATTCTTTTTTAATATACATGTAAACAAATCTTTCGGCTCTAAATTTGCTAATAATTATATTGTTGTGAAAAAATATGTGTTATCCCTTAAACACTCTGTGTTTCTGTCAATTATTCAGTACTCATTTTAAAAGTCCAAGTTTATGAAAGTAAAGTTGAAAGAATCTGAGGATTGTAGGAACTGTTAAAAATCATCCATGTTGTCAATAATATTTTAATTTTGGTGTGTATTGTTTGAAATGAATAGATACCACCCACATATAATATGAAAAATGTCTTCTGTGTCCAAGCCTATATCCTGTAAAGACAAAGTCTTTCCGAAAATATTTTATTTCTGATAAACAGTAAAAGTATTAATGGGAAGTTTTTTGCAATTGCTTACTCAGAATCTTTGATGCTGATATTAGAAATTAACATGTGCAGATGTATCTATTCTTCAATGATGGCTCTCCAAAATATGTTACTGAGCTTATGTAAACTTAAAATTCAACACAGTTCGTTAAAAAACATGGGGGAACATATGTCAAAGCTCATGATATTGTCACAAAATTGGCTGATTTAATCAAAATAGTGATAATAAGTATCCGTAACAAATGTAATTTATTAATTTAATGTTAGAACAGACAGTATTTCTTGGAATTTAACAAATTCCTAATCCCTGTCTGAGTTGAGTTGTTGGAGCACATAAATCAACATTTGTTACAAGTTGAATTTTTAGATCAATATAGTTTTGTTGTAGGCACAGTTAGTAAAAAAAAATAATAGGGAGATTCTTGTTCTAAAAGTAATTGTACATAAAAGTTATCAATCATATATTTTTGTTATAAAAACATTGTATAGTTGAAACATTCATATTTTTTCATAAAATTGTATTATATTTTTAAAATCCTGTATATGTATAAATCATGTGTATATAATCAGGTATAGCATATATATCTATCACTCTCCTAGCATAATACTGTATAAAATAAACATATATCAACAAAATTAACTCTATTGTTATATTTCTAACCCATTTGCTTACTGCATGGTCTTTCTCTTGACTTGTTAGATGTCCATATTGAAATGTGCAAGGTTGTACGTTCGTCGGGCTGTCAGTCATATTAGTGAGATGAAGAAACCTACTCACACCACCTCTGTAGTCGGGACTGACAGAACTGTGTCCCCATTGTGAATGCTCTGCATTGTCCAGAATAGTGAAATGAAGCCTATCAGATTTCAGCCATTTCCATTAATTGCTTCTAGAGTTTCTGCCCTTGATCACTTTCTCGCTGCAGAGTACCAAAACTTAAAGGAGCTAAATCACTAACATTTGGAATCTAGAAATTGACAAAAGTGGGTCGCACTGCATATAATACTGTAATATGAATTTATATAAACTGATTTACATTCAATGGTTTCCGTTTTTACTCCAATTTCAAACCAGTTATGTTCGGTGAAATAAGCCAGCAGTCTCAAGCGAGTGCAAATTTCTAGCGACTAGTTATTCCAGTCTACATACGCGGTTTGATTTGGTGCAATGTGTCTAGCCTAGTCCCTCGAGTCTCTTGATACAACTGGGGCTGAAGCGCATTATGGTACACGATTTGTGTACCAATGGTAAAATGTTTATTTTGTCTTAAATATTGGATATCAAAAGTCCATCTTTTTCCGGTAAGATCACAACATGAATGTTGATTTAATTTGACAAATAAATCGTGTTTTCAATGTTGAAGATTTTGGATGATATTGAGTTAGAGACTTAGCTACTTTAAATGACAAGGGCAATAACTGTGTACATTGAGTTTGCAGGAGTCTGCATTTGATTAGTTTTCCAACAAGCTTGAAATGTGGGCATATAAAAACAAATATACTCAATTAAAGAATAATATAATTTTATTATTAAATTATTTCATGAATCCAAAAAGTCTTCTCAAATATACAGTATAATATTTGACAGGCAACAACATAGTTACAAAAAAAAAAAATCTTACATAAATAACACAATAAAACATAATGTTTTATAAATTGAGTACATCAACCATTCACCAATTAAATTGTACATGATTATCTCTGCTTTAGTTATCATAAATGAGAAAGGGTTAACAGAAAACAATTAATTTTGACAGGTTTACAAATCTTACCCATGACACTAACAGAGGCGGATTCAATGGGGGGCGCGAGGGACGCGCACCCCCCCCCCTAATTTTCGACAGTGCCCTTTTTTACTGCTGAAAGTGCCTTTTCTCAAACACAAATATGTCCGTTCCCAACCCGTTGTAGGGATCCCAAATGACTCAAACCATCGACGCAAACACACCAGTCTGGGAAATAGCTCTTGGAATGGCTACAGATGCAAGGAAATGACGGTTAATTTTCTTGGGAACCCCCCCACCCCACAGCGGCGTGCCCTGTCTCCGCGGTCAATGCCTTCATTTTGCAGCGCCCCCCATTTCAAAATTCCTAGATCCGCCCCTGACTAACTCTTCATGTTGCACTTTACCCAACCCACACAATATACACGATTAGTATGTAGGGTTGCAATCACTAAAAAGAAATAAACTAAATGCCTTCTTAATAATGTGAGGCAGCAGTGCTTTCTACCTTCATCCTCTCATTATATTGAGGCCCTAAAGTTTAATCTAAATTTTAATTCTTATAACAGAACACTAAAAATGATGGATGATATTGCTAACATAATCATCTCAATATGTATTTGATATATTCTTTGAATGGCATTTACAAATAGATGTGTATATGCTTGATAAGGACTTGTGAAATCTTGTTGAAACGTTGCAGTGAAATAAACCATAGTAATTGTTATTCCATAAAAGTGTGTTACTGATATATTTGATATAACAAATGTCATGTAAAAATAAACACTTTCTTCATATTTTTCTTTAAAGCTGCTGAACTGCTTTTTTTGGACAATAACTATTATTTTATGGATTAATCCAAGTTAAAATGCATTCAAATTGATTAAGAAAAGAAACCCAAATATCAACGGTAGATAATCTCCTGACCTGGATTTAATCGGATTAAAAAGAGGACCATCAAAAGATTTACTCAATAGTTATAGGTGACACTGTCTTGTTTATATCATATACAGAGGATGCTGAATATCGTAAATTTTCAATTGAAAATACTGAAGGGAATTGAATCACTGAACTTTCACAATATTGTGACAATAAAAATTAATAACAATGAGAACAGTTTGAAAATAATGAAAGTTTGATTTTTCTACATGTAACAATTATTTTAGCAGTGTTAGATAATCATAGAAAAACATAAACAAAGATATAAATGAATGTGACTATTCTCTGTGAATTAATACATATATACCAAGGCAGGCTAGCACTAAATACTGAAATAGAAAATGTTAAATAATCTTATTGTTTATACTGTAAATATAGACATATAATTGTTTGTTTTTGTTTTAAAAAAAAATGATCACAATAATTAAAATATAATTATTTGCTACTTTAGTTTTAAGAGAGTTGGAGTACAGTAATCAATACAAAAGATATCAATTGACAGAAAACTAATAAAATCATACATATATTTTCCACACTAGAATGTTATGTCGATTCCAAACAATAGTTACTTCTGCATAAAAACATCAATTAACGACCTACCTTGAATTTAGGATAATCATTCATTAGAATGGTGACTATTCCAACATATGGCAGAAAACTGAAAATATAAACATAACTCAAAATGACATACAATGTACATGTATATGACTGTGAGGTTATTAGTTTATTGACTGTCTGAAATGTTAGATTGACCATGGATGCAGACCACTAATTGTTTCACCATATCTTGGTACCCAGAATGACGTTCAGGTTATTATAACCTCTCTCTTATCCCTTTGCCCCATTTGCGGGCGAATTTTGGCTGACTTTTTGTTTGAAATCAAAGAAGAGGGTTTGGATAGATATTTGGTGAATATTAATGATTCAGGGGAGGAAGGATAACAGAGTTAAGAGATCGGTTAAGTTCTTCAGCCTACATTTACATGTCTACTACTGCAGAGACTACATACCCTCTAGCTCTTCCAACTACATCCTTTTTTTCTAACCATAACTGTCCTGGTGCATATAAACCTCTATCATCTACAGAATTATTATCACCTTTAGTTAAAAACTTCAGTGACCCATCTTCTCTATAAAATATAATAAATTACATATATTTTAATGTGAAACTATGACTTTGAAATTTGCCTTCTTGTTACTATAAAAACCGACAGCCAAAATTGGTGTGTATGAGTTACAAATATATAGTAAAATTGCCTCGTTATCCAGACAGTTGAGCTTCACTTAATGGAGATAATTGCTTAGAAAAGCTGAGCTGATATAGAAGCTTTATTTCTCCATGTCTCAATTATGGCTTGATGATAGTAATGCTAGTGCTACGCTACAGTATTAGTGAAACTATTTGAATGTACTTATATTTTAAAAAAAAGACTTCCAAGATTACAGACCCTTTATTTTATAGGTTAACTTTCAGCTGATAAAGGGGCACATCTCTTGTAATAATATCTGATCTGGCAGTCCCGAATTTCAAATGTGTGACTATCTTATACAAAATAATTAAGTCATCAACAAGGATTTACCAGTAACATGCACACGAAAGGTGATTCTCAACTTACTTTTCGTGAATTTTAAGAACTCTGTGAACAATTGGGATGTCTCGTCCTTCTATTTTAAATACAACAATTTCTCCAACTCTGATAGCTTCTTCTTGATGATTGGTTAAAAGTAATAAATCACCACGGTAAAAGGCCGGCTCCATACTTCCACTGAAAGAATTGTTGAGATTTTAAATCATTTGAATTTTCTATCATGATATGCCTAAAACTCTTGTACATATATTTAATCTTAAATACTAATGGGTAAACCATTTTGAATTGGTATCTACCAAATTCATCCTTCAGGGATCACCTAAAAACCTCCTAATCGATGGATTTGCATATGAATATTTATACATAAATTAGTTTTTGAAGTGACTTTGTCTCTACAATTAATATAAGATTACCCCTAACCAGCAATACACATATTCTGGCTAGCTGAATGCAGTATAACACATGAATGAAGATGCAATTAAGACAAATATGTGTATAACAATGAAAATGCTAAGTAGTTTCTGTAGGGTATGTCAGTAGATCATGTTTTTTATTTAAAGGCTAAATATGCAAGATGGCCAATAATCATTTTTCTTATCTAAATTCAACAAAAATAAAGACTCAAAATTGTTCTTTGATAGTAATCTAAACTATTAAATCACAAAACCTAGGTTACATGTTATCTTGTGTTCATTGTTCAATGTTTGTGGACAGAAATAAAATATTATTCAGGCAACAAGATGGCTGCATGAAATCAATATTAGGTAATAGGAACTTCAGATGGCTGTGACAGTATCTTCCATCAGGATTGCTTTGAATAATTTTAGATTAAAAGACTAAACTTTTTTGTGTATTGTTTAAAAGTCTATATTAATTTTTAATAATTAACACTTTTAATATTTGTGCATCATTGGCAGTACATGTATGGTCGATTTAACATACATTATGCAAGAGCTAAATTTGTCCATTGCAGGCCTTATTTTAGGCCTGAAATGTTATATAAACTATTAATTAGACATTTATTAACAAAACAACAAACAGTGGTATCTCAGCTCAGAATGAAGTAATTTGAATGACATTTTCAATATTTTCATTTTACATGTACATTATCTATTTTCGAGCTATTATAGCAAGAATGGTCAGCTCTTTATCTAAATTTAACATAATGTATCTTTAACAGGACCTGCAGATTACATAAATATGAAATAATACAGTCTATCTGAATCCAGATTAAAATGTAACAGAATAATGTTATGATGTTGACCTGTGCTTTATGCAAGGTGTTAATTTTGATTGGAGAATTTTGTAATGTTTCCCTGTGCTGATAAAATATTTGACTAAACACATCATTATAATTTACAAAAGACTCTAGTGACTGACATCTGTCTGTGCTTAAAATATAAGGTTAATGGAGATGGTCTGTCTGTGCTTACCATAATATGAAGGAGTGTTCAAAACAAATTTATTTTATGTATTAATATATGCCATGAGTCTAATACAGTTCCTTCAGTTGTACTACAGTATTGAGACAAATAAAAACATACCTGAGTACAACAACTATAGGACTTTCACTGCCAGTAACAACCATCAAACCCTTCCATATCATTAAAGCTGAAGATACTATCATACCAAAATTAAGAACTTGATAATAAAGCTGAAAAATACATATGTACATATAAATGAAAAAAGTTTATTTGGAGAGAGAGGGAGAAATGGGGTTTAACGTCCACTGGACACAAACTAGGTCATTTCAATAATTCGCTCGCGTGTAGGGATCTTTAGCAGTGGGAGGAAAACCGGAGGACCCGGAGAAAACCCACAGTTTGGACAGACGACCCTACTCCTTGTCACGTACAACTGGGGAATCAAAACCACGCTAGTTGACTCAATGACAGGCCTTATGGTTTAGCACACAAGCTAACCATTCGACCATCCAACCCCTTAAATTTATTTGGTGTACATGTAACTATGAAAAGAATAATCAAACAAAATTAGTCAATATGTGCACAATAATATGATTTACAGACACTATTAAAGAACATTGTAAGGAAGGTACTGTAGTGGATACCTAAACTAAAAAATTTTTCACTTTTCACTTAGCTAGCAGTAAGAGAGTAGCTTGCTAATATCGGCTAAAATTTTTAAATTATTTATCGCATTTTGAATTATTTACAAATTCCATTCTTTTATCAACAGGTCAAGGTCTCCAAAATGCTTATTGCCCTTTTGGGGGCCATGGTGGCTCACTAACCTGGGAGTGGGTAAGAAGCTGGCTCGCTTGCCTGGAGGTCGCGTGTTCGATCCCTGCATTGGCCGAGAAATTTCATCAGGATTTTCTGACGTGGTTTCCCCTTGTTAGTGGTGCAGGATGGAGAGCCTGTCAAGGACAGCTGTCTAGTCATTCGGATGGGACAGAAAACTGAGGTCCCATGTACACATTGGCGTGCACGTAAAAGTTGGAATTCGATATAAGAGTAGGCCATAGTGTCGCTGCCCGGGCAAAATTTCCCTCATAGCACACTGTGTGGCATATGCCGTCTTCATCAGCCCAGTTGGAGCAGAACAGTAGGACGTTAAACCCCATTTCATTTCATTTCACAATAACCTGGAGGTCCTGTGTTCGATCACTGCATTGGCCGTGGTGCAGGAAAAGATCATGTGCAGTTGGAATTCGATATAAGAGTAGGCTGTAGTGCCACTGTCCGTCAAAAATTCCCTCTTAGTACACTGTATGGTCTATGCCCGTCTTTATTACCCTAGTCGGAGCAGAACAGTAGGATGTTAAACCCCATTTCATTTCTTATTATTCTTTAATAAATCTTAATCTGTCTCGAATTTTGCATGTACATGTATGGTATACAATCTAATTTGATACAGTATAGAAATTTTATGGCAAATCAGAACTTATGTATTTTTTTACTAACTGGAGCAGATCTCCAAATCAGTAATTCATTAAAACATCTATCTATATAATCTATACAATCTTAATCTCATACCTCCAATTTGAATATCTCTGATATGTAACTGCATGGTCAAATTTATATGTATAATGTATGTGTATATGTGTACATCTCTATCTCAGAATTATATAGAGGATATTTGTCGTTTTAGAGTGAATAACATATTTTATTTCATTGAGAAGCAAGAAAACTTATATTTTCACGAATACGTAGCATGAGTGAAAATATAAACGTTTTCTTGCTTAGAGATGAAATAAAATATGTTATTCACGACAAAACGACAAATGTTCTATTTATTTTATGATTTTACAATCATTTTAGGTAAAAACAACTAGCCAGTGGAATAACACTTTTATTTCACTGATAAAACGCGGTATTCCACTACTGATCATAAAATAAAGAGACTTTAAGCAGGAAAGTTTGGTGAAAGCGGACATTAAATAAAGCTATTTCACACACCCCCCCCCCCCACACACACACAGGTTAAGTGTATGCCATTGACTGATCTATGGGGTCACTGAGGAACTTGAATACATATTAGGCTATGGCAATTCAGTGAGTCGTAGGAACAATATTGTTACTCCTCACTACTTCTCTCAGTTTCCAGTAGAAATTTTTCCCCATACCTTTCTACATTACTACAGTCTGGCCTATAATAGTCAATTGATTTAGTGTTTAATTTCAATCACGACCTATTTGAATTCATGTGAATTCAAACTGAAGTGTTGATTCTACAAACTGCATAAAACAATAATTTTGTAAGGTAAAATTAGGCTAAAACCTACACATAATCATATACCATTGGCATTGCCAACGTTACATCCTTGTCATTTCTTGTGGCACATCTCATTCATTATGTTGTATTGCATATTAAATAAGCAGTAATATTAGTAATTTAAAACTCATAGGTTCAAAGCCAAAGATAAAATAAGTACGGATCCGACCATATCATATACCATATGCGGCCATATGCCATATGGGCATGGCATATATGCAGATGATATTATATATATTGCCAATGCCATGTGTGAACGTTCACGTGTTCACAGGAAAATCAAATCAAATTCATCAACAATTTTCCATTTTTCGGTTGCAAAGTCTTCATTGTCGTCTTTACCTAAATATTTCTTTCTATTTTTCAATTGGAATATTTACCTGTCTTTTATTCATACGCCGGACTTCGTCCAGGAAATCCATGTTTAATAACCCAGACATTGTGTACAAGTGGAAAATTTTTCTGAATTTTATTTTCTCAACGAGTTATGTCCCCTAATTAAAGTATTAATTTAATTTCTGGACCAGGACTTTATCTAGCTTATTCTTGAGAAATCCTCAACTTTAGAAAGGATATTTTCTAGTAAAGAGGGCTTTATAAATAACTGGTAAATATACAAACTTCAACATTTAATTAAATAATAAACTTTTGATAGTCGGTATTTTAAAAAGGTCGTGTATTTGTAATGTAAAACATGGTATGATCCAACTACAGCATTTGTAATTTTTTAATTAGATACATTACCCAGTCCAAAGAGTAACCGATGACGTTTGTTATAGCAGTACACAGAGAGAACACTAGATCGGAGATGGTCTAGCACATTCTAGCTAATAATGACGTCATGTAAGGGTTAGAACCTGCAGAATTCGTAAAGGTCTCGAGATGTAAACAGGTATAGCGCTAACCTTAACATTGGACCAGGTCTACCCCTTACCCTATCCCTAACCTACAATCCACTGATGACGTCATGTGCGCTAGACCGTCTCCGATATTGCGTTCTCCGGTACACAATGACGTCTATATTGGCGGTACATGATCTGGAAAACCAAGTCTAGTTGTCGTGTCGCTTTGTAAAGCCGGCACTAATCGGAAGTTCTTGTCTGCACGTAAAAGTGTTAAGATGAAAGCGGTAGCTTTTCTCTGTCTTATCTGCTTCACATATTTATTAGCAGCTGAGAAAAATACTGATGAAAAGGTTGAAGAAAAAGATAAATGGAAGAAAAAGAAATTACAAGACTACAGTGAAGCTGATTTAGAAAGGTTATATGATCAGTGGGAGGTAAGAATAAGGAATGATCAACAAATGAAAAAGGGGGCGTGGTAAACATTAAGATGAAGAAAGATGATGTAGATATTACATTGATATATTTTGGTCTTTGAGATTCAGTGTTAGCTACGAAAACTTATTAGGTCAATTGATTTTGTACGACCATATTTATCAGTAGGTCTGCCCAACCAAATTTATTGAAGGCTAAATTTTATTTGCCAGAGTGCAATATAGTATAGCCGAAATTGTCTTAGAAAAACAGGGGCGAAGGGGGGTGGGTGGTGGAGGGGCGCGGGGTACTACCCTGCAAGGAAAAAGAACAGTAAGTCTCAAAATAGGCAGTCTGTCTCAAAAGTGTGCATCAGCGACTGAATGAAATAATGAATATATGTGCCAATGGTTCACTGTTTTCATGTATGGAGGTTTTAAGACACGATTAAATTAGGCGATATTATAAAGGTCAGTTAGGTCATTTGCAAATGATATTCAATATTAGCAAAGATTTTATATATTATAATGCTGAACTTATGACCCCCATAAGTCGGAGTCTGGTCTCCACAATGTAATAAATCTCAATTAAAATACCTTTCAAAGTTTCCTATGTGTTTAGTTTTATTACTCCTAGGCTCAAAACCAAACGAAACTAAAATACTGCGAATTTTATTATTTAAATTTAAACCGAGTATGTTCATGTGTAACAAGATACACTTTTGTTACCAAAGAGTTTTATATGTCCACTTCAATCACATTGCCAGATATTCATCATAATCCTTGTGGACAGCATTATTCAGAATAAACCTCGCGAACATCAGAATTTTCCAGATGATTCATAAACTATAGGCCGTGGGGTGCCACGTGCCTCTTGCAAAATTCTTAATAAAAAACATGAACTCCCATGTGTAGTACTCATGTTATAAGTGTTTTCTGACCATCAGAATTCTGCAAAATTTTCACCCAAAGTCCAGGAAATGGCATGTCAGGGACTCAAGATTCAAAAATTTCTCTGGGGTGGGTTCTCGTCTCGTGGCTGTGTCACTCGTATTAGGGGATTAGGGGCCTGTGCATCAGTTAATCTCACCCCCCCCACCCTCAAACTAAATCGATATGTACGCCCCTGTAGAAATAAAATATTTCTAATTCTGTATACTTAATCTATGCTTGATTTGCCAATTGTTTCACAGATTAACACTGGTAATATAATGCCTTTTTATCGTATAATATAGGAGTCAGATGAAGATGAATTAGAAGAAGATGAAAAACCAGAATGGAAAAAAGAGCCTCCGAAAATTGATATGTCACAAATAGATCCTTCAAATCCTGAAAGTATGCTAAAGATGAGTAAAAAGGGAAAAACACTGATGATGTTTGCCACTGTTTCAGGTCAGTAAACTCTACCTATAAAGAAGAAATAGGCCTTACAAAACAAAGGTGTGTTTAATTATGCAAACCAAATGTCAAATATGAAGTAATAGCCTATTTACCTTGCCTGAAAGTTTCAATTTATAAGATGTTGGAAATAATCACTAAAACAATTTATAGGAGTTATATTTTTACTCTTTTAGAGCACTTTTAGAAACTGTTTATAAATTTATGTGATAAACTCTAAAATTCTATTACCCCTGACATAACAAAAGTATAAAGGGAAGTTATCACTGGGTACACATTTGAATAATAGCTAATCGGGTTTATCCCTGACATAAGGAGATTTTTAGTCAGGAAGCTTGTCTCCACAAACTGTACCTGACAACTGGATGTTGGTATTAAAGGATAATATTGGTGCCAGTCATTGTCACATATGTGATAGAACTGGTTAAACACGTTCCAAATATAATTTTAACACGGAGATCATTGCTACGATAGATGTGTTATGAAGATTTCAAGAATCGAAAGAGACGAACGCAAAAGGGAAACACGAGTTATCCCTCTATATAACTGACTTAAGTGACCAGTGATAACACATACATGGGCGAATTTCTGCTCACTAATAACTCCTTCGAAGACCAAAAGTTGTTATATGAGACTGTAAGAGGATATCTGACAATTCAAAAAAGTAATTGAATGTCATTAGATAAGAGAACACGAGAAAAATAGAAATAGTCTGTACATTCCCTTGTTTTTATCCATTCTATACTTAATAAAAACATGGTAATGCAGGGACTTTTTCTATTTTTCTTTCATGTTCTCTTATCTAGTGACAGTCAATTCTTTTTATAAATTGTCAGATATCCTTTCACGGTCTCACACAACAACTTTTGGTCTTCGAAGGAATTATTAGTGAGCAGAAATTCGCCCATGTATCTGTTATCACTCGTAACTTCAGTCAGTTATATAGAGGGATAACTCGTGTTTTCCTTTTGCGTTCTTCACTTCCGATTGTTGAAACATGTTAAAATTATGTTTAGAAGGTGTTTAACCAGTTCTATCACATATGTTATAATGACTGACCCCAATATTGTCCTTTAATAAATAAACACATTAAACAAGGCCCTATAAACTAGGCTTGATTTTTTTATGTGTAATGTTTTACAATAGCAATGACAATTATTCTGCCTCGGGAGTTGAATTGGGCAATAGAATGTACATACACTTATATTATTTTTTTAGGTGATCCAACTGAGAAAGAGACAGAACAAATTACCCAGTTATGGCAGAGCAGTTTATTTAATGCTAATATAGAGACACAAAGGTATTTTTACAGAACATCTTTATATTTACGTAGGATGTTATTGTTAAAGACCATTTCATTTCATTTAAAAAAAATTCCTTGCCTAAATACCGATAATCTTGCCCATAAATTGTATTTTAGAGAGACATTATCAAATTAAAGAATTCACACTACAGGTTGATATACCTAGATGATTTATAAAAATAATATGAAAGATAGTGGAAAATATATTCTACATAAGGAACTAATCCATTTATACCCAGTATAAAAAAGTAACACCGGTTACATTAAACAAACTTAGATATATCATCTGAACACATAATATCTATCATGAACAAAAGATAAAGATAAAATCAAAATTTTAGTGGATACTTCAATTTTGATTGGCTAAGCACTAAAATCAATCTTATATTATCCAATCAAATTACTAAAATTTGGATTTTATCTTAGTTAAAATTTCATGAAACAGCCCCCTGTATTTTAATCAGATTGCAGATCAACCTATCTATGTAAGTCTGTGATAGCGATACAATAAGGATTTGATTTATTTGATTTGTTTGTCTAACTAAAGGTACTATTCTGCAATTGAATTGTCATACCGGTAGACCTGGAACAGGTCTTTAGGCGAAAATTAAGTGACCAATCAAATACATGGATAAAGGATAAATTGTACTATGGTTGCCATTCTTTGTTTGATAATGATGAGAGAACCCTCGTTGAAACATCGCCAGAAATAAAAGTTTTAAGTAACTTGTATTCCATATAATTGTGTCATGTCATAAATTGTAATTCTTATGTGCCCACATTGTCATGTGGACGTATATTGTCGTCGCCTGTGTGTCTGTTCATATTTGTTTGTGGACACTCTACAGGTCACAATTTTTATCCAATTTGAACAAAACTTGAAATATAGGTGTATTTCCCAAACATCTTGGTTCCTTTCGAAATTGCATTGTATCGGACTGTAACTTCATAGATTATGGCCCCTGATTGTAAAAAAACAAATCATGTTTTAGCTTGTGGACTTGCTAGAGTTTATGTGTGTTTATAACCCAAAGATCTCTGTTGATATTTGCCCATATCATACCGTAACTTCCTGGATTATGGCCCCTAAATTGTTTCAAAAATCACGTTTCTTAGCTTGTGAAACCTCTAGAGGTCACAATTTTTATTTAATTAAAAAAAAACTTTAAATATATCACTGTTACACCCGAATGATGATTGAGTTTAAATCTTGTGAAAATCAGATCGAAACTGCTTGACAAAATGGCTGCTACTTGTACGCAAATAGTGTAAAAGTATGTAATACCAAGATTGTGGACTCTCTAGAAGTCACATTTTTTTTCCGATCTTGCTTGATGAAACTTAAAATATATGTTTATATCCAAAAGATCTTGGTTCCTTTGGATATTCATGCATATCAGTCCGTAACTTGGTTATGGTCCCTGGTACAAAAAAATGTGTTTTTATATAGCTTGTTCTCTGTCCATCTCTTGCAAAATGTGGGCATATCTTGCCTGGCAAATACTTGTTATTATACTGTATAGATGTATTTTTCAGGTATATTGTTGGAGCGAACCGTGCTATTTTCATGTTAAAAGATGGAGGCAAAGCTTGGGAAATCAAAGATTTTCTTATTCAACAAGATAGGTGTCTTGAAGTCACTATTGATAACCAAAACTATCCAGGAAAGGGAGCTAAAAATGTAAGTAATGAAATATAAAGTTACTAGAAATTAGATAATTTTACCTATGCATTACCATAAATTCCAACTAGTGTAGCTTGACTTGACAGATTATCTAAACGCTTTGCAGTACTTTCTTACCTTTTTTTGTCCCCCGCCTTTCGAAAAAAGCAGGGGACTATTAAAATGGGTTCATCCGTCACACATTTTGGGACACAATAACTCTCTTTCTAATTGAGCTAGAATGTTCAAACTTGGTGTAGGTGTTTATTAGGTCAATGCCTTGATGGATTTCGAAGATGAGCATTTTCTGCTTAGGGTAAGCAGAGATAAGCAACTTGATTGGTTGATGCTTTGGTACCTGATAACTTTAGTTCTAATTAAGTGAGAGTGATGAAACTTGGTGTATAGTTTGACTAAGTTCGATAATGAACATTTTCTGCTGACGGTAAGCAGAGTGATAAGCTATTGGATTGGTTGAGTGTTTGGAACACAATAACTCTTCTAATTGAGGTAGAATGTTCAAACTTGGTGTAGGCGTTCATTAGGTGAATGCCTTGATGGAGCTCGATGATGAACATTGTCTGCTTACTTCTGCTTACGGTAAGCAGAGATAAGCAATCTGATTGGTTGATGTTTTGGGGCACGATAACTTTGGTTATAATGAAGTGAGAGCAATGAAACTCCGAATGTAGATTCATTACATCATTACCTTGACTAAGTTCGATGGTGAGAATTTTCTGTTTAGGCTAAGGAGCGATAAGTAATTTGATTGGTCAAGACTTTAGAACATAACAACTCTTTTAATTTAGGTAGAATGTTTAATCTTGATGTAGATGTTCAGTAGGTGAATGTCTTGATTAACATTTCAAGCTGAGGCTAAGCAGAGCTAATCAATTTCATTGGTCGATGCTTTGGGACAAGATAATCTTGATTCTATCTGATAGAGAGTGATGAATCTTAGTGTATAGTTTGATTGCTCAATACTTTTGAAAAAAATAAATGTGCGATTAATTAATATATGTCATCTATTTATTTTGGGATTTCGGCGGGGGACATCAGCCTCACTGTTGGCTTGTTATATTCTAAATTTATTTTAGGAAAACAAGACTGCTAAAAAAGACAAGAGTGCAACCAAGAAGGGAAATAAATCGCCAAATGATATTAAAAAAGAAGAGCTCTGAAAGCATAGACTACAGAATGGTGAAATCGATAGTGAAGAAATAGTACATCAGTGTTGTGCTCGACAGTATTACATTCCTCAAGTGCCTTTCTACTTTGATATTGTGGTGTTATTAAATGTAGGCCACTGTGTATTTATTTGAATAATTATCAAAATTTCAAAAACAAACTAAACATTCTAGCAGAACTAGCTCAGGGCAGGTGTGGTAGCAAAATTTTAAATAATCAAAAACCTTTTGCCAGAATATTATTATTTGAGGGATGAAGCTGGGCCCTACACTAGGTCCCATTTTAGGCTTGGGAGTCCTCGGTGTATACCTTAATGCACTTAGAAAAAGAGAACATTTAGTACTGGATGTAGGCATAAGCTAAGCAAGCTGCAGGAACCTCACGCCACAAGAGTCTCAAAATTTCAAAATTCTTTTTTGCTTTAAAATTTTATGTTACTTTTTAATGTGTACTGTACTTTTGAAAATAGCCTGTATTGCAAATTTAACACAGGGTTTCCAATCTTTATATAACTCTGGGTTTCACAAAGTCTAAATCTGGCACAGATTAACAAAAAGATTAAGTTTTGCAATTTATAATATGCAGTGACCAAATTTTGACAAATTTTTATAAAACCAAGGAAGTAAATATTGATGCCAAAAATATATTTGTATATGAATTCCATATATTAATGGTGTATTCAAATTGATAACAGTTGTACTTGGAGATGTTCAACTTTTTTGCCAAAGTTCCACCTAAAACTTTTCTTTTGACGGATAGTATATATGATTTTTATGTAAGAAATAGTAGGTTGTGGAAATATATTATATGATAATGGGGAAAACAGATAACACATAAACACAAAGAGTAATAACTTTCGTCAGAAGTAAGGTTTCAATTAGATTTACCTTTAGGAAGAGACAAGAAATTAATCCATCATGAAATTAATGTGACCTAAAGAGGGGCGTTATAAGTGTGTATTGACCCCGTTTCACTGTATTCTTGACTTCTTGTAATTTTAAACTACAGACTTGTTACCAGGACAGAAATATAAACCATTTCATTCATTATTATTATCTTATTAATCACTTTTGATGAGATAACTGAGATAAAAAAAATACATATTGATATTCTTATTTTACAAAACTGGGTAGAAGCCTGGGTAAAACATTATGTATGAATCACTTCTGAAATCCTCCTAAAATTTATAATGGACTCAATATTTGTTATTCATACTATCAAATGTATATTATAATTGTAATCCTTCAGAATAAATATTAGTTTAATATGGGGATATAAAACATCAATTAACCCTTTGGACACTGACACCCTGAATGACATTAAGACATAATCTCCCAGGGTAAAAATGGACCCACATTTTTTTTGTAATATTATGAACCCTTAGGACAAGAGTGGCCGAAAATCCGCCTAAAGCAGCCAGTATATTGGCTGTCACAGGTACCTGTTCGTTATGGATTGTTCAAAGGGTTAATATTTCATAATCATGTCATTTTTATTATCTTTTAATTCATTTTTTTTGATATTAGTAGATCTGATAGCTTTCCTATTTTGTTATGTTTGAAATAAAAAAAATTCTATTAAAAACGTAATATTAATTTTTGAATGTTACCTATGCTCATTGTATTGCCCTCCAGCCACAGATCTGTTTTAAGAGTATAGCATGCTATTTTGGCACAGTAATAATGTATATAAGGAATAGAGAGAGATAATTGGGTTTTAACATCCATTGGACACAAACTAGGTCATTTCGTGACTAAAATATGGTTCAACTTTATTTCAATAATTTGCTTGCGCATAGGGGTCTTTAGCAGTGGGAGGACCTGGAGAAAACCCACGAGGTTGGACGGGCGACCCAACTCCTTGTCATGTACAACCTGGGAATCGAAACAACACCGGTTGACTCAATGACAGACCTTATGATACAGTGCACGCTAACTATTCAGCCATCCAACCCCGGTATAGAATAGACAGGATCCTAACCTTTTAGTATGTATGCAACAGGGTTGATTATTACCAAACATCACACTGCGGTATCTATTGCACTATCACTACTTGCTGTATTGCAATATCTCAATATATTGAGATATATGAAAATTGTGCATTATTCAGAAATTGGGATATATATTAGTGTACATGGTAGGCCTACTTACCGGTATTGTTTATTGGGGTAAATATTCTATAACTATTATTACTAATATACAAGTTACTTGTTTTTGGTGTACTTGAAGTGTATTACTATAAATAACAACTCATTAAATTATGATTACAATATATTTATGTGTATATATTAATAGTACATATATATATATATTTAGGATATATCCAATACACAAGATCCATAACAAATATCTAGACAAAATAATCCAATCAAAATGTTTGACACATTCAAACATTCTGAAACAAAAAAAGAATACCTGTCCACAATTTTTACACTGAAACAAATCTGCCAATGGAGTTTTATTTGGTGTAAAGAGCCATTTTCTATTAAAATGTGTGTTTCCTACTATAGTATATGGCAGAATGTTCTTAATAATCGTTATGTTATTATTCAGAATAATACACTTAATACCTGATAAAAGTCTCCATTTATACAGCATATTACCAGGATCTTATTCCTGAGCTATTCTGCATACAATAATTTACTAGATAAGAAAGCATGTTCAAATGCAATGCAAATCACACATGCGGCTGTCTATGAGACGATGTTTCTAAATCGTGGGAGCGGGTCACATATATGGTCTAACATTTGTATTCAGGATTCTCTGAAGGACTGGACATCATTACCTATATTAAAATTAAATCCTTGATGTGCCACACACCAATAATCATTTTCCTTCTTTAAATTTAACATAAAGACTTTAATGTTATATATTTATAATGGACAAATATTTTCCACTTTTTTCATGCTAATGTTAATGCATGTATGAATAAATATAAACACATGAATTATTGTTTAGCAATTGATGCTATATTAAACTCGTATAAATGATCAGCAGATTAATACAGGAATATCACAAATTTAATGTGCATTCATACATTTTTTCTAAAATGACAAGCTCCTGAATCTGATATTGTAACAAATTATTCTATCATATATTGATTCCTAAAAGAAACAAATTCTAAATTATCTTTTGTAAAATAAATGCTTAGTAAAATGTTCCTTTTAGATCTACTCCCCACCAAGGTATCTTTACATTGTCTAGTCTCAAATAATTCTCTGGTTAACTTTAGCAAATTAATTTTATGAAATACAATTCTAAAAAGTTTATAAAATGTTTTAAATACAAGCACTGTGATGCATGGGTTTGGACAAAATTGATAAAATTGGTAAACTTTAGAAGTTATAACAAAATGTACACTTGAAAAAAACTTACATAACATTTATATAAAATTATAGTAAATCATAACAATTTGATCATATGCTTGACTACATTTAAATACTTCATATTTCTTTCAGTAGAAGTAACAAACTTTCTACTCAAAACTTACATATATGTATACATACATCATAACTTACATTTAAACAAATAATATTTACCATCATCTTCAAATAAATCTTTAACAGTGTTTTCATTTAACTGAATACATAATTAATGTTTAATTAAATAATCAAACCGAACAATTCACCTATAAATAAATAATTTATTAATTTTTCAACCATAGATGATGTGAGGTTTTTTTTAAATTGATGTCACAAACTTTTGTTCAGAATTCTCAATCAATCAAAGCTATAGCATATTTTTAAAGATAACATCACCCTTCTGTGTTAAAAAGCATTTGACCAGTATGGACGGTACATTGATGTTCTATAAGTTATTATTTAATAATAGGTTTATGACATATTTCCTTTCTTATCATGAATATATTATACAATTTCTACTACAGTTGATATTAATAAGATATGTGAATCACACCATTATCTTAATGTATTGTCACTAATACAGTTTTATTTAAAGTCCTAATGCAAGCTACAAACAAGAATGATAAACAACCAACACAAAGACCTACATATTTTATATTAAAATCTACATAAATGGCATAATGGTATTAATTATCACTTACAAAAAATACATAACATGTCACTCTACTCTTTGGCAGTTAGCACTTCTAAAGAGGCCTTATCACTATCAACAAGAAGAAAAGATTTTATCTATAACAGCATAATATTCACAATATCCTTAAAATTCGTCTGATCATTGAAAATCCAAGCACTGGTCTACTAAAAGCAAACAATTTATCGCTGAGCATGAACTTGACTCCTTGAAAGCCACAACAGGCTATGAATCTTAAAATGACTGCATCTCTTGAAAATTTCAAATTATTTATAAATGGCACTGATACCTCTTTAATATGTATTATCTATCTAAATTGATTTTCAAAGTATATTAATAACTAATGCATACCTGTAATTTGTGTACAAAAACAAGTCATTACATCTGTCTCCAACTTCTCTCATAACATTATACTAATGAATTTAGACCTACTGCTGGATGCCTGTCTAGGTCTAATAATTCATTATTTCTGGGATTATCAATGTAAAGTTACACACAGACAACGAGATTGTGATAACGAACAACTATCCATAAATGTTTACAATATTTAACTTTTAAGCGTTTTTTATATCAAAACATTAATTCACAAAACACAGTACGACACTATGTTGAGCATTTAAATTCAAACTCGATGTTATGAAAATTAATGTAATATTTATATTGATCTTGGTTTTGGTATTTCCATAATAACCTAAATTAACAAAAACAAAAACAAAATGAAGGAAACAGGAAATTCTTAACAATAATCAGTGACTTAAACTTTGGTAAAAATGAAGAATAAATCAGCTTATGGAAGACAACACTGTAACAATACAATCTAGAAGCAAGAAACAGATAGTTAACATAATGGTAAAATGAAAGTACTTTTTCGGTATGTTGTAATACTAATGGACCAATTATGAAGAAATATATTACTAAATTTGAACTGAAATTGTTAACAACAGATCCAAGATATATGCAATTTTTAACACTCTTAAAAGAGGACAATAATAATAATAGTGAGTTCTTATATTGCGCACAGATTCATTAAAGTTAATGCTCAAGGCGCATTTAGCTCTTCAGACTTGGTCTTCATTATGCTACAAGAATACCAAAACTCTTCATACATACATAAGTGCCACTGATTATTTCCCCTGAAAATAGTAGTGACACAAATTTTGCCCTAAAAAGAATAACATCATCATCATCATAATTCTAGCGAGCGTCGTCGCATCATAACATTTTTTAAAAAAAAGTGCTTAAAGGTATATTGTTTTTCACGATTCATGAGCATATTTCTACATAAAATGTTGTACAATCTAGTTTTCTTTACATATCGGTTAAGAACCAAATCAGTTACTGTTGATATTACTCCTAACTGCAACAAAGGGATATAATATACTTTTGTTTTCTATAAAACATTTTGGGGTCATTTATGTTGTTTATGTTAACAATATCTTTTTTAAAGATGCATTATGTAAGATTAAAATAAAGAACTGGTCGTTCTTGCTACAAAATTTCAAATTTAGATAATGATAAATGAATATATTGAAAACTTCATTAAAATTACTTTATTCTGAGTGAAGTTATGGGTGTTGGAAGATGTATAGCAGATTGTTTTTTATCACAGCAAAGTTACTTGTTAATCTAGACTCAGCCTCACTTCTCTATTTCTATATTAAATCATTAAATGGCAATTGTATTTCAATCTGTTTAAATCTCTGCCATCAGATGTTCTAGAGAGTTGATTATAGGCTTGTCATAAATAATAATTCATATTACATTTGAAGCATGCAAAAGACATTAAGCTCTTACATAATGCAGCAGTAAATGTCTTCCAAGGGAACATATTTCAATTTTTTATCAATCGTTTGAAAGCAGGTCAATGGAAAACAGTTTTTTCAAAAGTGATTCTTGTTTAACCTTTCAGCATGTGGCTCTAATTTGAGATCATTCTGAAACTGTTCTTATTTCGCTAACAAAGGACATTTCGTATATATTTAATCCAAATGGCACTATATTAGTACAAAATACATGATTTAATTTTCTAGCATACATTCAAACAGACAATATATCTTTAATGAAATTTAGAATTAGGTGAAAACATGGCTGTTATTAACTAAATTATTATCAAATCAACAGATCAAACAGGTTCTTACATTGTCGTTGTATTGAAATACCATAGATAATCCATAAAGGTCAGCATATAAAGTATGTTCATAAGAAGTGCTGTTATATACAGTTAGATGGATTTTTTAATACCTACATTCACTGTACCTACGCCCTACAGTGTCAATCAATATCACAATCTAAATATTTAAATGTAACAAGGTAAGTCTACTATGTTTATGCGAGAATAAACATTTTGAACAGTTAAGTATCTGAAAATACAATACCCTTCCCATTAATAAAATCGGTCCATTCTTACAAATACGTACATGTATATAAAAACAAATGAAGGATTATCAAATTATTATTAAAATATTCTTTGCAATCAATCTAAGTCAATGTTCTACATGCCCCAAATTCCACCAATATAGCCAAGTTTCTACTTTCAATTTTCTTAATCTGAACTGCATTATTAAGGCTGATATTTTGAGTACAGAATCAGCATCAATTCCAGCATGTTATTCCCGATCTAATTGTTATATAAATGAACCATCCAACTGACTATAATAATGTTTTAATACATTATAAACTGTTACAGGTAATATACTTATCAATCTACCCTGTATGTCCTTAGGATAAATATTTTATCACTCTAATATAGGTGTCATGATTAGCAAGTAACAAACTGGTTTACAGCTAAATTTGTTGACAAATAAACACCATACTGTGACCTAATGTGTCTTCTTTCAAATACAAATTATAAAGGACTGCATTAACCATTGTATGTGATGTAATAAAACAATTACAGAGACCGGCTCTAAAACATTTCAAGTCATAAAAGATAGAATCTTGAGAAAATATAAGTCATTAATAATATAGACTAGTCAAATATACTAGTGGACCTAATTAAACATTAAAACAAACTAAATTACATAGTCTATACTAATTCTGTAGAGTTTTAATAAAACATCTGGTTTGCACAAGTTTGTTTTTATCTCCTGATGAGGATTTTTGTAAATTGATATTATAGATCAAGATATGGCATCACATATTAACAAATGAACAATGATGACCAATAGACTAACATATTATTATTTACTTGATAATAGGATAATGAAAATGTGAATTATTTATAATGATGTAATATCCTGATAATGATAATGAGACTCATGTTATTAATATTGATGGAAGATTTGATCTATGACACAATGACTATTTGATAAATGATTCCATGATGATCACACAACTTCATATTATCCTCTCATCTCAAAGAATATGTAGTATATTTCATAATATTCTTAGATGTATCAACCGAGACATATATGTACACCTAAACCCCAATTTGATAAATGATGGGGGGCAAAATTCAAACACTCTTGTCTATGTGACTATCTTTGGTATGATCTGCGTAATACAGATAGACAGTCCCCTCTATCTGTATAATCAGTTAGCACTTCTTTCTTCACGTTTCATGTATATATACTGCATTTAACCAATAAGGAATATTTCATCGACCTTGATCTCTTAAAATCACAGATCAGTATTGTTGGATTGTACAGATCAAACAACAACAAAATTCCAACATGCACTTTATCTTTCGAGAAAACAAAAACGAAAAAGAAAAAAAGAAATGATTTGTCTTTACACATTTAAGTTGCTATGCTCTAGACGAAAACACTTATTCACACTATAGCACAGGTGAATTAAAAATCAATATGACCGCATTAATTAGACTGGCATTTTGTCCAATCAAATCTGGTGTTCTTTAATTAAATAAGCACTTTTTATGACTGTTCACTCACTGATAATGATGATAAAGTGGATACCGTATTGTTAGTTTTGTTTTATACCCGTTGTTATTTTTTTAGTACTGATATCATCAACCCAGAAAAAAACCTTGCCTTGGTCTTGGGTCATTAATGGGCATAGCCTGTAGTACTTCATCTAATAGCTGCAGCGGGCGATGTAACTGTACCTCAATCCAGCAGGGTGTTTCTTTGATACTTTTACGAGGATAATCGGGTCCCCAACCCTTGACAAAACTCAGTCGTAATATACACAACCTTCTCAAATCATCCACACCAATACCAGCAGCAGCCGACAACCCTTGATAATTGAAATAAACAACAAGTGAGAATTTATGACAACATGAAACAGGTCAGGACATATATTTAACATAGCCGAGTCAAGAATAAAGACATCTTGTTGTATATCTTCAAAACTAAACATATAGATAGGAAAATGTTCTGGAAACTATTCTGGTTAAGGGGAAAAAATTTATAATTTGCCTTTTAACTATAGGTTGTAACTTGTAATAAATGCAACAGTTGTGAATTATCTGAGTTCTCCATTGTGTGCACTTTAGATCAGTCATTGATTCAAATATTCATGCAGTTGGGTTCTCTCAATAAATAATTGAAATAAAGATACCCCATTTCTCTTTCATACATTTTATTCCATATATAGCAACAAGTGGATCATCAGCAACTTTTGCTTAATGTCTCACTTGTAGACCTGGCAAACGATACTGGTTTCAAGTATTGATAATCGATCACCATCCGCCAATCAATTATCGATAACATCGCCAAATTATGTTTACTCACAATAATTTGAATATGAATAACAAATTATATGTGAGTTTATGCTGTAATATCATTATGTATACATGTAAGATTTATTTCATTGATTTGACAATAAGATAATAGCATTCCATACCAAAACCAAGTTGTCGAAACTCAATATCAACATTTGGAAGACAGAACTGTCACCGATGAAACATATCTTTATTGCTAATGTTTTATTTCCTTTTTATCACATGAAACAGATTCCGCATCCAGTTCACAGTAACAGTTTATTTCTCGTTACTTTGATTTCTCATGCGCACAAAATGCCTCCTCTTATAGTGGCTTAATTCAGTATTTGACTGTCGAAGTATTACTACTTACTCAAGAATAAGAACTGTGCATGCCTTGGTCATATTATACTGGAGTTCGAGATTTAATAGCCAACCTCTTACAATATTCCTTCCAGCCAGATACAGAAGTTAATGAATATTTCAAATAACAGTTTAACTGACAAAGTCTATTAATTGTTGCGTTAATAAAAAACAAAATTCTATACAACACATCACAGTAAACAGCCCTCTTATTTTAAAAAGATAGATTGCCAAGCAATGAAGCATGGCCACAGCAGCTAAGTCACCCGAGCAGTTGGTTACACTGTATATCATTACGGATGACAGGAGTGATGTAATGGGTGTCAACAACTGGGTATGCTGGTACCGTCGCAACGTAGCCGTGATATATATACTGTGGGGGGAAGGGCAGAAACGGAAAAATATACAATGTTGACAGTATGTGCCAGGCATGAGGCTGCGCAGACCGAGCGGCAGCTCGATAGGGAGTGTGTGGGAGGGTCACCCTCATAAAAATGGACTTTTTAATCGTTCTATGTTAAAGGCAAGGGAAAAAACTCGCGATGAAAACTTAAAAAATCATATCATTGTCTATCATGGATGAATGGATAAAAACAGTCATTTGCAACCTACAATACAGTATGTGTTATGAAGAAATACCATGGTGCCGTATTACTATCAGCTTATATCATTCGAAAAAAAAAAAGCGAATACAGTAATTTATTCAGGAATATATTACTCACATGAATTTCAAGCCAATACATGAATTAAATATTGAAAATATTCCGAACAGTGTACCTTTTTGTCATTATTTTTGTAGTAATTACATGTAGTAGAATACAATATTTCTCATAACAAATTATCAAGAATTAAATTTGTTAAAGTCTGGTTATAATAAATGGATGCTTAAAATTTTAAAACCCAGTTCCTATTGGAACCTCATTTGACCCAATTCTGGCCTGTTCATTTCAAAATGGATTAAGAACCCTGTTGTGAGGATTATAGCTTTTCGTACTGTGCAGTGGTAAATCTTTGCGATACCTGTAGTCTCGATTTTCATGTCAGTTAGCATTCTCGCGTCAACCGTATGGCCGTTCTTAATAATCGTTCGCTGTACAGTAGCCGCCTAGCTATTCCAATAGGTAAATGCAGATTCAAATAACGCTGACATTTATATTCATTTATAGCAACAAATAATATAGGCATTTTCACGAATCTGGTAGACTTTGAGTATTCTGAACGGTCGCTCGTTGAACAAAAAAAATTTTTATTTCTCTTGACACTAAAATTTTTTTTTAGAGTCAGCAGGTTTTGTGATGGGTCGGTGGGGTTAACGGAAACAGAACATTTTTTTTTTGGCCTAATGGGAACAATGCACAACAGGTGAATAACTCATGAAGAAATTAGTGGAAATTCGATTGACTTCTTCTTTACATTTATCTGGATAATGTACCTGTACATAACTTTTGTCGCTAAATTGTTTACAAGATTCTACAAAGTTAATGCAGGCAATAATTTTGAAAGTTATAATCAAAAATTCAACAGGATTTTTGATTTCACTTATTTAAACAAAAGCAAATTTGACAAAGATCTGATGTTCATAAGAAACGTGGACGATAGACAGCAAGGCAATATACAACATTTCCATGTGGGCGTATAAAAATTAAAATGTAAACATTTTGGACTTTGTGGCAAATTGTGCATAATTAATAAGCAAAAACCAAGGTGTATTAAAGAACAAAGAATGAGGACAAGAAAATGCGTACCTATATTAAATTACCATAAAAACTTAAAAGGGGAATTAAAGGCAAATTAAAATTTAAGAAAAAAAAAATGAACCTTCTGTGAGCTGAGGACCTCTACCCTTGGGATTAGAAAGGGGCGTGGTCACTACCTACCCACAGCAGGTGCTATACCTCCTACAGATGCAGGACCTGGTATATTGCCAGCAACAGCCGCCGCTTGTGCTGCTGCAGCTGCCTGTGCTGTTGCTGCTTGTTGCTGCATTTGACGATGACACTGACGAATATCAAACACCTGTAAAAGCATAAATATATTCAAATTACAATCAACTGTGTAGTTTTCATTTATCACCTGTGGATGTAAATAGGGACCGGCTTACTATACATTGATGTATCCAACTGAGAAAGATAGGTTGCCAGGCAACGAAACATACTCCCACAGCAGCTAAGTCGTCTGGGCAGTCAACAGCACATGAAAATCTGATTACCAGTAATAACCCATGAAGTAATTATCAGAAAACATTAGAATTTGTTTCGATTGTTTGTCTCATGACTTTAACCAATTATTAACTTTAGCCTCTAGAGTGAATGAATGAATGAAATGGATTTTTAGCGTCTGAAACGTCTGAAACGTTAACAAGATTTTTCAAAGTATTCAAGGGGCTTAACACTTGCAGTAATTATCGAAAATCGTTGAAAATGAACAGGATTGTCAGGATTCTTTGTCTCATGACCTTAAACAGTGTGTATAAGTTATAAGCTTTTCATCTCATGAATTTAAACAATGTGTATAAATTTAAAGTCAATCAGATATTAACATTAGCCTCTAGAGTGTCCACAAGATATTAAAAAGCAATAAAGGGTCATAAATCTGAAAGTAATTATCAAAACTCGTGGAAAATCAATAGGATGCTGTGTCTCATGGCCTAAAACATTGTGTATAAATTTAAAGTCAATAGGATATTAACTTTAGCCTCAAGAGTGTCAACAAGATATTTCAAAGAGATCAAGGTCCATAACTCTGGCAGTAACTATCGTTAATCGCTGAAAATCAATAGGCTTCTTCGTCTCATGACCTTACACACTGTGTATAAATCAGTGATGGGATTTCGCCTGTATATTCCGGACCTGTCCGGCTCTATTTTCCAAACGTCCTAAATTGTTCGACCAGGAATATGCCCAATCGGACATCGGGGTATGGTGAATAATATTCAAAATTCCAAAATTAATATAGTGTACTAAGTGTATATCTACCACTCATCCCGATTATCGTTGATAACAGGCTGGATTGATTAGGGAATTACCGCCTTTATCGGACAATTTATCGATCCAATCCTGAACAGAAGTCATTGCTTCTCCTTTGTCAGACTATGTATCAATCCAATAAGAGGGATTACAAACTTTATCTATGTGACTGACCCGTGATTTCTCCATTATCAGCCGACAACAAGTAGAAATTAGTCATATATGTCACATATCCTAATAGTATGTAACACCCCAAATCAATATACATTGTATCCGATAACTTGTCTGCGATATCACTTCGGTGGAAGCGAGTGTTAAATAACGTTATTTCACACACACATATCTGAAAAATACTAGACAATGCAAGCTCTGTTTCTGATCGTACACGGTTATAGTACAATTCCAATAACTGAAACGGAAGTAGAAATCTCGCGAGACACGTCAATTTATGAAATGAATACCGGTATGTGACAAATTTCACACATCTAATGTCTGAGAAAAGATTCTGTTTTCATGGCACATTCTCAGATTTATGATCATATTTTGAATGGGGTTTATGTTTTTAAATAAAAAAAACCGTACGCTAGGAAATGTTGACGATAGGGTGTGCTAGAGTCGAATGCAATTATTTAGCAGATGATGTCACTCACTCATTGTGGTAGAGCGACGTTTACTGCCAAATAAAATTTGGGATGTCATTTTTTTACCTTCCGTATATAAGTTGAAACAGAGTTTAAGACGAATGCCGGACTTCTTCTGAAAAATGTAACGACTAATGACCCAAAAAATACAGTCATTTTGGAGGAATTTGAAACAGGTATGAGTCGACAGTAGTCGGCCCCCTTTATTCTATCGTATTACCACATCACATAATTTTGTAGGAATATTACTGACATAAATAGAATACCGTACGGGAATTAAATATGAAAAATAACGAGTTGTAACTATTTTTTCAATACGTACGAATTTTAATATTTTGTTGATACATGATTTTTGTACATGGTCTAAAACTGCCTGCTTAAATAACGATAAGAGTTATGTCCATTTATTTTCGGTAAAAATGGCCAATAAGAAAAATTTTGAAATCCCATCACTGGTATAAATTTATAGTCACTCGGATATTAACTTTAGCTACTACAGTGTTCACAAGACATTTCAAAGTGATCAAGAGCCTTAACTCTGGCAGTAATTATCGGAAATTATGACCATAAACACTGTGTATAAATTTAAATTCAATCGGATATTAACTTTAGCCTCTAGAGCGTTAACAAGTTATTTTAAAGTGTTCAAGGGCCATTACTCTGGTAGTAATTATCGGAAATCAACAGGCTTCTTCGTTTCATGACCTTAAACACTGTGAATAAATTTACAGTCAATCGGATATTAACTTTAGCCTCTAGAGTATCAACAAGATTTTTCAAAGTAATCAAGGACTATTACTCTGGCAGTAATAATCGGAAATAATTGCAAATCAATAGGGTTCTTCGTCTCATGACCTTAAACACTGTGCATAAATTTAAAGTCAATCGGAGATTAACGTTAGCATCTAAAGCAATTGTGGACGTTGGACGACAACAATATACAACCACATTTCAATGTGGGCGTATAAAAAACAATTAAAAATTCGAAAAGTTGTGTATGTCAACTGACGGTTGCTATTTTCACCCATTACGAGTGAAAGTTATCAAGAATCAAATAACTGTGATGAGGAAAGATCAATCTTAACTAATCCAATACATAATAAAGGTAGGCACTTGTATTAATGTGGGTATTAAAGGACATACTTTATATTGAGATTTTAGTCAAATTTTTGGTCAAAATCCATGTAACATGAGATATGGTGTCATATTTACCTTGATATAAGCACTAGGATATATTTTATGTACTGCATCACCAGGAGCTCTACCAGCCTCTCTATCTAGATAATAACTCTGTACAAATACACTATGATCACTAACACAACGTATCCATACATCACCTTCACCACGATAATCTAACTGTACACCTTTACCTATATGTAATCTGTAAAAACAATTACATTTCATTACCTGTCAATCACAGTAAGCTGGAAAACACAGTAACATACAATATTTCTTGTGGATCATAACATACATTTCTGTTAATATAAAGAGATTTTTAGGCAATGGAAAAAAAATCTTAAAATTCTAATCGTATTTATCCGGGATTAACAATTAATTGAGTGTCAATCACATGGCAGAATATGATAAATTAATCAACTAGTTGATAATCCGGATTATGTCAATGAGTAATACTAATCAGTTGTTTTGAATTAATGATTAGTTGATTGATAATTGTCAATGATATATAAAGCCTATCTCAAGTCATTATTTACTTCTAATGATTAATCCAAGCGGTGATTATTTGATGTTTCGTTTCGTCTTCAAAAAAAATAGTAATACATGTAATCAAAATGGCCGACCAACAATATAGTCCCACTGTATAATAATTATATTACTTCCTGAAAGAATAGAAATTTTGTAAAACAAATGACTATCTTTGCGTTTTTCACCTCTTTTTTTTTTCTGAGTTTAAATTTACCTTGCTCTTTCACTAGCTTCAGTACGATGTACATTTGATAGCTGACCAAGACAAAAACGATCAATACTTGATGGATCTGTGTAGCCATCAACAGTAACTGTAGAACAACTGTACGGTACTTTAAAAGTCTCTCCTACTTGTTGATCTAACTCAAAATATGTTATTGTACACCAAAACTCTGGAGCTAAAAAAAAAATTGTAGATGAATACAGTGATGAAAGTCATCCAAATTTTGGTGGGTTCTTTTAGATACAATGTATTTGATAGCCAAGTCATTATTTTATCACCCAGTGATTGGAAGATTGTGCCATGTGATTGAAAGTCTGTGCTATATTCTTCTTTTAGTTTTTGTTGCAATATCACCAGACCTGTGATAATCTCAGACTTTAATGATTTTTAGCATTTCATTTGCTTTCCACTACTGATAGGCTGCCCCACCATAAATAAATATCTCCAAATATCTCGACAATTACACCACAATACTTATATATATACTAAGCTTTAAATCAGTATCGCACAATCATAGTCACTAAATAAACGGTCATGTTGTACTTAATAAGATATGACCATTTAACCATCTATAAATAATACACTGAAAAATGGTTCGGAGTGTCGTCCATGACATCCAGACACTTTTGAGCAAAAAATAGGTTACGTGCCCTTGTTTTGAAATTAGTCTCACTTAACCAGTCTACCGACCATTCTCCGTCTGATTGACAGGCTGGGATAATCAAGACTACTTTTTTATGAAACATGACAGAAAGCTAGAACAAGAAATTGAATTTACAAATAACGCCCGATGGGCGACACAACAATTGTTTTAAGAACCTTGTAAAAGTAAAATGAAACTACTGCTAGTATCATTTTCCTGCCCAACCCGCGTTATTCATAGATATTATTTGTACTAAACCAAAAGATGCCACTCCTAACGGTCTAGTTAATGATAAAGGAATTTAAAAAATAAAACGAGTGTAATTTCTAAAAGCTGCAGTAATAACCAAAAAGCTAAATATTACTGCTATTCAGAATCGTCAACAATAGATTTTTTATGTCTGTAATAGTTATTACAAGTGTTGAGAATTTCACGTGCTGTGGCTATTTATAGACACAAAGAGAGCCCGAGACTCGTCTGAAATCAATTAGAGTTACGTCACTGAAGCGTGCACATTCAACGTGTCGAGTACAACTTTTAGAAGGGAAAAGATTCAGCCACGGGGCACCCTACTACTGAGGGGCTTTTCAACTAGAGGCCACACTTAAACCATGTGACTCATTACGGCACTTTGTTTGAAGCTGACAAAATTATATTTTTTGGGGGGAAATTCAATGTACGATTAAAATGGAAGCATTTAGAATTTGAATGTATGGTACATTTAGCACCAACAATCCCCTAGTTATTGTGTGGTTAATTGATATACTCAAACCATAAAATATGATCCAATCAATAATCTGGATGACAATTTTTGTTAAAATATGGAAAAATCCAGAGTGAAATATTGACAGTCTCATTCGTAAATTGGGAACTATCACAGGTCTGACATCACCCTGTATGTCAACGGGCTAGTACCATTTTTATCATTAATTTTTTGATGAAGAGTATTCTTGCTTCAATGACAACTCAATAATAACCAATACAAAAGTCTACTTACGTAATTGATTAGTGAGAGGTTGTACTTGCTGAATATCTGTCTGCATTTGATTGTTGTTCCCTGTAGTAATAATAATATGAGAATATTACAAACTATGTTTTGTCATGTTTTCCTATTATTATAATTCTCACAATTTTACAGTATAATCGACTGACAAGTCTGAGAACTTAAGAGGATCATTTTATCTGCTTATTCCATGCTATACATCTACACACCAATAATCAATGTTAAATTATTACATTGTCATTTTATTCTTACTACCTGACTGCATAATTTTGTTGAAGAAGAATGATAGGTTACCAGGCAACAGACAACTAGGATATTTTAGACTTAAGTAGCAATTCAATTTCAATGTCAGTAATCTATAAATTTTAATTAATCTTTTGCCACAACACAACAGCCATACTTAACCATTTTCAAACTGTTTCTCTAAATAGTTATAAAAAGTGACCAGTTTTTGACAAGAGACAGGGTATGCATACTTATTTTTGAACATCTGGATGTCATATAGCTAACAATTTTTTTTTATACTTACAAAACTGGGCTTGATGAGACATATTGGCTGTATATGTAGCGGTGTTGTTCCCCACCCATGTTGTACCAGAACCTAAAGAATCATTTGAAATTTATATTTTCATCAGTCATACTATATGCCTGGAAAATTTTTTGGAATGTTTAAGAAATTGTATTTCAGTTTGTAAAAGAGGAAAATACAAGCCAAGAATAAATATATCAAGTGAAAGAATTGTCAACCAAAGAGGCTCCATTCACAAGACTTAAAATCATTGCTATATAATCAATCATAAAATTCATATTCAGAAGCAAATGAATCTGGGATTCGCATTCCTTTTGACACATATACACATAATATTGCAGCATTTAAAGCTCATGCTAATTTGATAAATATAATAAGAAGCTTTACAAAAACACATCCATCTTTTTCTTTTGATGATGTTGTCGAAATATCAAATATTTCTCATTAAACAATACAAAAACATGAAATTTCAAAGAACCAAAATCCATGTAAAGACAAAGCTTTGAGAAGAATAAGAAATCACAGAATATGTGTAATTCTGTATCAGAAACTGGATAGCACTACATCTATTTTCTTTTGGATCTAACAATTACAGAATTCTGTTTTTATGCCTAAAGAAAATAGTCTGGATGTGTAAGTGTGTTGCTAGACTTACTACTAGGAAAGTGACTTAATGTTGAGGAGGAGGGCTGAGGTATTTGGTTGCCAAAGTTTTCTATCTGCGACTGTGGAGGTGGAGGCAAATTGTGTCCATGAGGGAGTGTGTGAGTATGTCCATGTGATAAGGTATTAGTACCTGAAAATACGTTCAACATAACAAAAGCATTTGTCAGCGAAGAATAGACGAGGTAGAGAAAAGAATAGTAATAAATGAGAGAATATATACTTTGTTAAAAAAAAAAGAAGCAAAGAATTTAAAAATCAAACCAATATTTTACATTTATCTATAATTTGTTTTATAATCGTGAGAGAAAGATCTAAATTGTACAAAGTAGAGATGGGAGATATGACAATTTTCTAATAGCTCTATATTAAAGGGACTGGATTCACAACATTACCAGTTTCTGTCTTTTATGCATATTATGCATCAAGACTGGTTAGCTGCTAGATATCAAGCCTGGTAGGTAAAGACTACTGAATCTATTTAAAGATGGTCTACCCATCAAACAAAATAATGGTGTCGTTACTTGAATACAGATATAACTTTGGTTTAATAATTCAAATTTTACCAGCTTATCTTGACATTCCGATAAACCAGCTTCCCAGTTTGGGGAATTTTTTTACTACAGGTTTTATTTTTCATACCAGTATTAAATAGTGTGAAGAAAATATTGCCCATCTCTAGTACAATTTACAAAAATAAAGAATGTTTAAGAGAAAGAAAGTTTGATTTGATGCATGGAACCTACACAGTAATATCCAAAGGATGCTTTCACATCATTCATGCTATAACGGTTAGTACAGGGAGTCTACGCCATCACCGATTAACGTTAATAGGTTTTGTTATAAGAGACAGTGTTAACAAATTTTGTTCCATAGCCTGTAAGCTTATATTTGAATATTAAATCAAAAATTTATTTTCCTTGTTCATTTAATTGTGCTGAAATCATATAATCTTGAGGCATCTTTGAATTACAGTAAATAATATTATTAATCATATAAAAAGCAACCCTAACTAATTATCAAACATTACAAAGCACATTAGGCTATACCAAACAAAATATTGAATGACAACATGAAAAGCACATTCAGATATTTAGCATAATAAAATAAACCCTTCCCAATAAAACCTTAGCCTTCTGAATTGTTAGGTTAGTAGAACTTGAAATCTTAAAGGAATATATTATACATCTACATGTGTGTATTTTGTAAAATCAGCGGGTCAGAAGATAGAAAAGATTTGATGAATCAAACAATGATTTGGTTATATATGTATGTAAATAAGTAATGAATATATATGCATAAATTGTAGAATTCATTTACTAGTTATATTAAAATAAATGATTATTTATTATTATTATTATTATAAATAAATCACTTGTGACATTAAATAATTAAATCTAATATCCATACAACCAATTGTCAAATAATTGTTGATCATATTTAGTAGAATAATACTGCATGAAATTTTTTTAAATTTTGAAAATGAATGAAATACAAGAGCAGTAAGTTATTGTGTAGGTTCAAATATTATTACATTTCTTACTTATAAATGAATTCTCAATATTAGATGTGATGTTTGAAATAGAATGAAATAGATAAAGATATTTATATATATATATGTGTATAAGTTTATAACAGGATATGATATAAAGGGTTAGTGATCTTTTCTAAAGCATAACAAAGAAACTACAAGGTGATTTTGCAACTCACTGGACCGGCTTATTTCAAGGCCTGGCTGGCTAGCAGGGGACAACGGTTGTGGGGAGAGAGGGTGCGTCATAGTTCCAGGGGTGTGGACCGTTGAGTGGGAGTGGCCAGAGGCAGAACTGGCCATACTGGAAGCAGGTGCTGGGATACATGGTTGTTGTGGCTGTTGTGGATGCTGTACTGTAGCCTGTGTAGTCGGTGATACAGGACCTGGAGATTGGACCAATCAATTAAGTTCAAACAAAAAGAAAGAGATATTACCTTTTTTAAAATAATTAACATTTCCCCATCAATATCAAATCATAAATGAAACGTTTCTGAATATTCAATAAAGCATGCAGACAATATTGATTTAACCAACAAAGGGCAAATTATACCAAAAATGGTGGATAAAAAATCACCATGCTTGAATCATTTATCAAAATGAAGAAAAAAAGAAATATTAACCTAATTCATAACACCATTTAATTTCAGCAATCACATAAGAGTAAGACAACATATAAAATATATATGCAGCCTACAAATATCTAAAGCTTGTTTAAACTTGAATAAACAGCAGTGCTGAGTGATAGAACTAAATATATAAGCAGTGATAAGTAATATTTACAGTATATTCCATACTGACTGAATGTGGTATTAATCTAGTTACTGGGTAAAATATCACCACTGATCAACAGGCTTTACAATTAATAGGAATCAACTGTATATCAGGTAACATTTTTTTTTGCTTAAAGGGGCAACCTGCCAGGTAAAAGTTAAAAATAGAGTACTCGTCAAATACACAACAGTAAATAGTTCTAACAAAGAGACATGGTCGTATGCCAAAAAATATTCAAACGGGTCAATTCATTAATTTGATAAACTTAAAAGCCTATATTTTCTTTATTCAGGGTTGTTTTCCCTACGGATTTTCTTTATTCAGAGTTGTTTTCCCCACAGATTTTCCTAATTAACAATCCTTTAAGAAATGCTTTAGCTTTGTGGTGATATTCACAGATTGACAAAACATATCAATCTTGTTTAAATAAACATTAGTGCAACATTTAAATGTTCATGTATAGATTGCATAACAAAGTTTGAGTCAAATCAGTAAATTCATTGCTGTGATACAACTATCGTATACAAGCATTTTAAGTTTCTAATTGATGACTTGTATCTAATGTTTAGTGGTTTTCTACTAGTTCAATATTTGGATTTATTTTTTTTAATCAGGTTTTTTTTTAGCTTCCTGTGAACATGGCATACAAAACATATTTAATATATATTTTCTTTTCAAAAGCCTCTTTAAATAATTAACAGTTTAGTTTTCAATAAAATAATTAACGAAACCTCAGGTGTGTTGCCCCTTTAATAAAGGTTATATTCTAATTTAATACTTTTCAATTGACAGTCTCTTTAAATTGATAGTTTCTTTTCAATTAGTAGCTTCTTTTCATTTAAAGAAGTTGTTGAAATGAAACTGTACATTATCCTTATACATATAAGCAGTCTATAAAATATATAAAAGTTTGATGAAGTTGTGATAATATTTGTTCAGTACATTTATATTTTGCGAGTTTACCTGTCAACATTCTATTGAACCCTTCCTGAGGGGGGTGTTGTATAGTTTGACTGGTTTCACCACTAGCACCCCCCATTCTCTCCATCTGTATCTCACCCCCATACTCATCTTTTATTAACCTGCCAGGTGGACCTGTTAGAATCAAATACATAGATAGTACCTATCATCTTTACCAATACCTACGACTAATATTATATGGGATCATATATTAAACACATTCAATGAAGGACTGACTCATCAATGGGGCAAGTATTAAGAAGTTAATTTTTCTTGCCAAAAAGACTAACAACACAGCCCAATATGATTAAATGGCCATCTGAATGTTGTCTCGCAGGATTTTCCAATGTGGTGAGCCAACACATACAAAAGCCAAATTTTTAATTTAGCTACCCATACAAGTAATCCAATGTTTGTCTAATATTGGTACAGTTGACATCAACAGTGTAAAATATCCCCACAAAATACTAGCCAGAGTTTCACACCATGTGTTTAAGTTTTCAAATGATTTTTTTTTACCATAGCCATTGAATTTTATGGGTGTGTTTAACATGATTTGAATACTTCAACTAACAAAACAACTACAGTACTTAATGATGAAAAATCATCACTCTAATGTTTCAGTTAAAATTAAGAAGACTTTTCACCTTAAAATAAAATCAATGAATTAGGATTCAATTTCTTAAATTTTTTGTCATAAGATGCAACCCATTGTGCAAAACTCTACAGCTATAAAAATAAAAGATCTATGGGGTATTAAAATAAAAGTTACATCAAGTCATCGTGATTACTGACAATATGTAGGTATAATGATGAAAGCATTACAAGTTAATCACTATACAACTTTTAAAGCTTTTTATCGTTTTAAACGGACAACAATTAGCCACGTATCTTTTACAATGTAAAAATTTTCATTCCAGAACTTATGTCTAAAATTTGAATAAAAAAAGACAATACTAGAACAGACAATTATAAATTGATAACACACTAATAATCTCTCAAATATTCTTAAAAGGAATGAAAATGGATATTGATTAATGCTATATACATGTATTATTAGCACCACAATGTTACATTAAGATACTCAATCTGTACTGTAATTGAGAGATTATTAATGACTATCAGCTAGTTTTATTAAGTTCTACCACATTCACTAACCTGCATGCTGTAAAGTCAATCCAGACAAATCTGCAATAACAGGAAATATTTGAAGATATATAAGATTTATTTAAAATACAGAAAAAAAACATAATAAGTACTAGTAGTCACATTATATATTCAAGTACTAGTAGTCACATTATATATTCATTGTACAAAAATAAATATGAATTAATTATACAATTACAATAGGCTTCTTTGACAATTTCAGCTTTTAGATCAGCGTGATCAAGGGTGATAAAATACATGTAACACATCAGATCAATGGTTTTCAACACTTTATTTATGACATAAGTTAGAGAGGTTTAATACCTTTAAATAAGATTCACTGAATCATAATTTTGTTGCACACCAAAATTTTACATTATCAGTTTGTAAGTTCCCCAATCCTAGGGACATGTGTATCAAATTTGGAAAAAACACTATTTTTTGGCTTGCTATAACAGTAACTCATCATATGTATTGAACTTGTACATCCACTTGTTTTGTTTGCTTACAATAAGACATATATGTGTAGATTCACTCATTTTGTGCACTTGCAAGAGATATTGAAATTGTAGATTCACTCGTTGTTTGCTTGTAGTAAGACAAAATATGTATTGAATTGTAGATCCACAAGTTTGTTTTCTTGCAATAATATGATCTATACATTTAGTATGTGTTTACATATAAGTAACATACTGCAAAGTGAGAATTTTTAAAACTATTCTAAGGTTTGCTTATTGATTAGTGGCCATTATATGCTGATGACGGCACAAGTGTTATAATAATATATGTATTACATGTATCTCAACATCAATTTCAAGGAGTAATAACTACATATAAATATAAATAAAAGAAAATTGTCTCACTGCCAAATCTTTGTTAGCTTACCTATACCAGGGGACACAACTCTTTCATAGTGATAGGGGTTCACACACACGCTGTCTTGTTTCAAATCAAAAGCATACTGACAAAATTTCACATGCTTGAGCTCATTTTTATGTAAATCTGGCCACCTCCAGATTCTGGCATATATAACATGAGGAAAACCTTTTCTTCCAGCAACCTGAATAAAGACAGGGTCATATAGATAAGGGAAATAACTCCATTATTTAATATTAGTCAAGGAATATCTCAATATGAGTACCATGTCCTTTCATTTTAACATTTACAGATCAACAAGACATTGGTAGCATATGTAGGTCCATTAGTGGGGTGGAGGTTGGTCTCCATCAGGGTTTTTCCTTTTTTAGATAAAAGTTAGTCAATCTCATTATATGGACGCACTAAGCACAATAATGTTCAATTATAATTTTGGAATAATAAGGACCTTTTAGATATCAATAACGAGATAATGTACTTTACCTGCAATCTACCATCTAAAGTTCTTTGTATGGTAACACACTTAGATGGTAAAGCCCCATTAGTGGTGATAGCAGTAATAAGACTGTCTAATTCATCTCTCTTTTCTTTTAATTTCTTCACTAGACTCTCTATCGCTCTTTTACCAAAACTTTCACTCTCTCCACCTTGCCTGTGACACATCAGACTATGAACTATACTAAGACAAGCATCAGCTGATGTGGGAGCTTGATTTGTCATTGTTGATAGATCTACAGTGGAATTAAAGAAGTTATATTTTGTGCTCCAGAAAATTGTAGACATGACTCAAGATAACTCAACTGTTTCTATTATTAAATTTATAAATAAGCATATAGGTACATGTACATGTATGGTGGTATTAATGTATCGCTTTAATATGCATGTACATGTACATGTAGCAAAATTATTATTTCGAAACCAGAAGTTAAGTTTGACATGATCAACCTGATCGGGTTGGGGATTACGGTGAGTCCTACAGAAAACACACATCTTAGTGTGGTCATTTATATAGTCCTTGTGTTAAGAAGCTGCATACAAACATGGACTAATATCCCAGTGCCAGTGTTATATTTTATGCTTAAAAGTTATAGCTAAAAATCAATATCATTATAATTAATGTTTATAAAATATTCAACCTTTCAACTCACCTGTCACTCACTAGCTACTTAAAAAATGTCAGTTGAACACTTCAATATTCAGATGATAGCAAATAACAAGTTATTAATATGTCACTGTCTTGTTTATTGTTCAATGTGTTACTGTACACATCTTCGTTTAAACAAAGCTATGAATGGTTTATTAAGTCATCTGTGAAAAAAAAAAATACATTTAGATTATTTCTTCTCGCAAAAATTAGCATTGTGGCATTGGTCACTTACATAAAATATTAATTAATGGGGAAATGAAATTGTAAAAGAAATGGTGTTTAAAGTCCTACTTTTTTGTACCAACCATTCTAATGAAGATACTGTCTGAACCGTGGTAAATTTTAAACAGATTTCTTCGATTGTGAACAAACTACTGAATAATTGTTATTAAAAACTTGCCTATGTGTTTGAAATCACCTCCGTTTGAATAAAATCCATTGCACAATTAAATATCTCTCTAACCAAATAATTAATACAAGGCGGAGACAAAATAATGGACTACAGGCGTATTTACAGGTATGTTTGTAAACGCCCAAACTCATTACTGGGTCCGAGAGCAAAAGCTTATTCATACACAAAATTTGAACTGTCGTAAAAGAGTCAAACACCATTACGATAGACTAGCCTTGCTGCGACCCCCGTAACGAAATGATCTATCCCGATAATTATAAGTGACTAATTAGCTTCCATTTTTGTATTTTTTATTCGCTGGGATATTTAGTTGTACAATGGATTTTATTTAACCAAAGTTAAGTAGTTTGTTCATAATCGAAGAAATCTGTTTAAAATTTACGACAGTTCAGACAGTAGGCATTATAGAGAGAGAGAGAAATGGGGTTTAACGTCCACTCGACACAAACTAGGTCATTTCGGGACTAACATATGGTTTTGGTTTTTTTAAAATTTTATTTCAATAATTCGCTTGTGCGTAGGGGTCTTTAGCAGTGGGAGGAAACCGGAGGACCCGGAGAAAACCCACGAGGTTGGACAGGCGACCCTACTCCTTGTCACGTACAAGTAGGCATTATATATGCAATGTACTTCTGCTCAGACAGTGGCACTATGATCTACTCTTATTTCAAATACATGTACCCCTAAACACCAAAAAAGATAAGCAACTGTTTTTTTATTTTTTAATCATGTTGCCTGATTGTTTATTGGATTAGTAGTTATTAATTAACAAGCAGAGGTGTGATTTAATCATGTTCCTGATTTAATTAGGTTTCTGTGCATTATTGTGTACAGGTATTATCTACAATCTGATATCAGTTTTATGCATTTGTTGATCAATTTATTTGTTCCTTTTCTCCGACAAATTAGACATAAATAATAATATAAATACTGTACATATTTTAAGAATTATTCAGCAATTCTTGATTTGTTTTCACTTTCACACCCATAAAATGATATGAATAAAATTTATCTATAAATATAAACGCCCACAGAAGCTAAATCGACCAGGTTGTCGCATATTTATTCCTTTGTAGGTAATTGGGAGCCTTTACAAGACAGCTCCATACAGATCAGATTATAATTTTTGTCATTTGAGGGTTCACAAGGTTCTACAAACTGAACTGAAACAAGGGCCTTAACCCTGGAAATGAAATGAAATGGGGTTTAACGTCCTACTGTTCTGCTCCTACATGTATGCTGGGCTAATGAAGACGGGCATACGCCATACAGTGTACTATAAGGGAAATTTTACCCGGGCAGCGGCACTATCGCTACTCTTATATCGAATTCCAACTGCCAAGGGATCTTTTATGTGCATTCCAATGTATACACGGGACCTCGGTTTTCGTCTCATCCGAAGGACTAGACAGCTGTCCTTGTCAGCCCCTCCATCCTGCATCACTGACAAGGGGGAACCACACCGGAAAATCTGGATGAACTTTCTCGGCTAATGCTGGGATCGAACACCCGACCTCCAGGCTAGCGAGCCAGCGTCTTACCCACGTGATCCCCCCTTAACCCTGGAAGTACATGTAGTCTACAGAAATTGTTGGAATTTGACAGGCTTTTTCGTTTTACTAATTTAAATAATGCATATAAATTTCATACAGATCGGATGATCACTTTTGTCATTCAAACGTTCACAAGGTGTACAAAGTAAAACAAGGGCCATAACTCTAGAAATTATTGACGGAAATTGCTGAAATTTAATAGACCTCTGTTTCACAAATTTAAATGATACATATAAATTTCATACATATAGGATAACTTTCATCAATCGAGCATTAACATGGTTGAACAAAGTGAAACAAGGGCCACACCTCTAGAAGTGATTATTGTAAATTGCTGAAATTCAATAGGCTTCATCGTTTCACTAATTTAAATAATGCATATAAATTTCACAAAGATTGGATGATAACTTTCAGCGATCGAGCGGTTGGACAGGCGACCCTACTTCTTGTCATGTACAACCGGGGATTCGAAACCACGCCAGTCGACTCAATGACAGACTTTATGATACAGCACGCGCACGATAACCATTCAGCCATCCAACCCCCCAAATTTTGACAGTCTTTCACTGTAAAAATTCGAAGGCCTACGTTTATGATTTACTTTAAATGTGGTGTTTTCTCGGTCAACTGAACGGATTTCATTGCTGTGAAAATTCAAAGTCCTACTTTTATGATTTACTTTAATGCAGTGTTTTCTCGGTCAACTAAACAGATTTCATTGCTGTCATGCTTAACCGGAAATCCTAAAAACTCCCATACTTTACTTGTGACTTGTATACTTGGTAGTTGTGATTTCAATCTCAATATTGCTTTTGTTGAATGTGCGACTTGAATTTGGTGAATTCATTATGAAACAAATTTCAGCCGACTGGCTCGTATTGCCACAACAATATCAGCCAATGAAAAGCTTTCTCGTTGTAAGGTCAGTCATAGATTACAGAGAAGAGAAGGAAATAACGTTACGAAGATTTTAATATCAAATATTAATTTGGAAATGTGCTGATTAATGTATGCAGTATGTACAAATCGCCATTCTTATACAGTACATACTATCACAAATCGCATAAATTTACTGACGTATATAATAGTTCAACTGTTGTATGTTTTTTCCCGCATATTATTCAAGTGTGTAATTTGAACGCAACTTAATTTCCAGCTCGACTTGCATAACCAGACTGATATTTTAATCTTGACGAAATAGTTATAATAAGTCACTTTATGTGTCGAAAACACCTTAACACTCGCTAAAGTGAAAGTAAAAAAGTTATTTTGCTCATGGACTTATTTACACATTTATAGGAATATTAGTCTATTTTTGTGAAATTATTATTTGGATAATGAATCGCGATACAGACATTAATTTATCATGCATCGTGGATTTTTAAAACATCGCGGTTTATCGATTCATCGTTGGCAGTTCTACTGCGAATGTTTTTATAATTGTGAAAGCCTAAATGTCTTTTACGTGAAATGCAATAATTGAAATAATAAACACACAGGGGCAATTATTGATGATTGACAACTCACACGTTTCCTCATCAAGAACAGTAAGATTTCTTCACACATACCGTTACTACAATAACATCAGCATTACCGGTTATCAGCTTTAATTATCCCACTTTGGTCGTTAATATTTTCGAAAAAGATTTAATTTATCGATTGGTACTGTCTTTTATGGAAAGCTTTTCGAGGAATGCAGTTTACAGATTTCTAAGGACTTGTAAAAACCATCACATCATGTAAATATTTTCTTTTGTCTTTGAGAATATATAGGTTATTTTCAAAAAAAATCATCCGCATATTATTCTTCTTTATAGGCTTTCGTGTTTTGAATTGGCCCATTAAGTACTTTTTTTTTTTATATCGAATACGGTAGGCCCTACATACATAATATAATAAGTACAGATACCTATAGAAACATATACCGTATATTCTTATATAAAAAATTCTTTTTGTAAACATTCAACCTTGGAAATATTGCCATATCCACGTGCTGTACTTGATAAACCAACGCTAAATTTCACCTACATCTTATTTGTATAAAATTGTTTTTGGCTTATTGTAATCTGTCAGAATTACAGTGATTTGACGGTTGTTTTTAAACCATTCCTTTCAACTTGAACTTATTCCCAAGTCCAAAAGGTCACCTTCCTAAGTCCAAAAGGTCATTAGTCCAAAATTTTGCAGGCCCGAAATGTCATGTAATCCTGTGATCGTTCATAATTACCGTAATAATATTTCAATATTTGGCAATATTATTATTTATCATAGCAGTAGCGGATAACCCAATATTCGACTTATTTCTTGACGATGCCCTTGAATATCCTATATCTGAGCACCTTAAATAATATGCGAATAACAAAAATTATAAATGATCTAACAGATAAAAATAACATGGAAGCAGGCAAGACGAAAAGAGAAACATTTAGAATGTAGGCCTGTACAAATATCAAATGAAAATGAAGATTTCAGTCGCAGACATTCAGACGACGACCAACTTTGTCGTCTATTTATTGGGTATAAACGAACCATATTTCGATTTCATCTTGCCCAGTACATAGCTATGAACGCCTGAAACCATTGCAACTATATATTATCGTTACCTTGAAGCCGTATTTTGTAATATTATGTAAAAATCGTCGATTTTCACCATTATGTGGCGGGAGCCAAGTCAAAATAAACACATGCGCATGTCAATATAATTAATTTCCGGCACTGCTTCCGGTAATGTAAAGGGAAAGTAAAAGTAGAAACACAGTTATCGTAGAAGTCATAGAACTGTACGATCCATAAGAAAGTTTATTGCCAACCATATAGGATATCTATGGTTATTGCGGTGTAACATTGTAGGCCTATATACTAATCAAAACAGACATCACAGGCTGTATACGTTAGAATTAAAACTTTTTACTTTTAAATGAAAAGTTATAGGCACGCTTCCAATCAATAGCCTGCTATGGCTCCATTGGCATGATCACGGTTTGTGAATTGAACGATTTATACTGAGCGCCATGGAAAACGCATCACTTAGTTTTTCGTATAACAAAATGATCCTGTAAACATATCTTATTTATTTCTCTTCTTATTGTGAACAATATTCAAATGGGACACATCAATAACAACACATTTGTACACTTATGGATGTTTAATCTGTAATCAACGGTACAAATTCAGAGGGGTCAAAACCAAAAGTACGACACAGATGTCAGTAGCGCGTGTGTCCTCCGCGGGCTCTTACGCACGCTGTGCAGCGACGTCGCATGGAATTTACCAATGTTTGACAGAAGGCCTGGGGCAAATTGTTCCATTCTTGGACAAGAGCAGCTTCTAAAGCAGCAATGGTGTGCATCTGTGGTCTCCGATACAGACGGAGTCCAATCTCATCCCAGACATGTTCTATCGGTGCCATGTCCGGAGACATGGCTGGCCAGTCCAAGACATTGATGTTGTTAGCAGCCAGGTAGTCCATAATAAAATTGGGCAGTGTGCGGACGTGCATTATCCTGTTGGAAGTGCTGAAGTTGTGGGTGCGCCCGAAACATCGGAACAACAATTGGTTGCAATACATTATCACGGTAGGCTACAGCATTAACGCGACCCCTGCAAAGGCGGTCCGGTGATGAAATGTGAAGCCTCCCCACACCATTACACTCCCCCCACCCCCTCGATTCGTTTCGATGGCCATCAGCGTGATACAGATGAAAGCGACTCTCATCACTGAAGAGCAAGCTTTGCCAGTCTACTCTTCTCCATGTCTGGTGTCCTTGAGCCCATATCAAACGCCGCTGACGGTGATGATCCCTGAGGATAGCTCCAACATAAGGTCGTCGTGCACTTCTCTTAGACGACGTTATACGGTGTTGGCACTTACTGGTCCCTGTCTTCCGACGACTGCTGCACCTGTTCGAGTCGCTGGGCGGAATCTGTCACGCAGATGAGTGGCCCGGATGTAGCGGTCTTGAGTCTGGGTTGTAACGCATTGTGGACCAGGACGTTGACGGTCACGTGTTGATCCAGTAACTCGAGCACGTTCCACCAACCTTACAATAGTGGACTGATGACAATTGAAGTGTCTGGCAATAGCACGTGTAGACATGCCAGCCCTGGACATTCCCATGGCTTCATTCCGTTGATTTTCGGTAAGTCTCGGCATCTCTAGCTCGATTCCTTCACACGTCCAACAACAAATTACGACAGATTGACGTTTCACAGTTCATGTACTGCACATTAAGTTGAATACATGCTTTTAAAGGGCTCACACACAATACTGCACGTGAATATTGGGTTTTTCATGTGCATCTCGTGCAATTTTTTTTTTTTTGCACACAGGCCGATATTTTTTGCGTTTGGGAGCATTGTGTGAAACAATAGTTCATAGTATTGCATAATATTATACATACAAAACCACCTAGTAATAAAATATTTGGGAAAAAAAAGTGATGCGTTTTCCATGGCGCTTAGTATATAAATGGACATATGGCGATTGATGGATCCAACTGACTGCTTTAACCGCTCGATCGTTTCGATTATGTGTTTTTGTCCATATTCTTCATTAATTATTTATTGGTTTTTGTTCTGGTATTCTTTCCTTACATCTCTTTGTCGAAAGCAGGGCTCGGCGGAGTCATAATTTTGGCGGGCTCGGCGGAGTCAAAATTTTGGCAGTTCACTGGTTAAAAATTAATGAGTTAACTAGTTCAAAAAAAAAAAAAAAAAAATAGTCAAAATTACAATAGAACAAAAAGACATAGCAAATATTATGTCTACATTAAAGATATTCAATGTTTGTATAACTTTCTACACGTTTATCCAACATGACACTACAGAATCGTCCAATATTTTAAATCATCTTTAGGTCTACTATTTCATGCAAGAAAACCATCGCAGATTCCGTCAGGTCATTCCATTCGTGTATGTTCATATACGAGTCCAAGAGTTTAAAATAATCGTTCCGAATATGCAGAGGTCGACCAGTCGGCAGCAGAACCTGAAGTTCATTTCACCACTTGGGAGAGGATCAGAACCAATCTTAGGATCTATCATCCACGTCTTGAACCGTCTCTTCATTTCTATCGGGTTCTAGCAACGCTTCTAGAAAGATTTAACCAATTCGAACTGATGATGCACCCGTGTCTCATCAGTTACTGAACTTACAAAGAGCTAGATTTCCTTGTTAAAGCTTTAATTTAACTAGTTAAAAAGTTTAGTTATTTTTTTTTAAACTTTTTAACCAAATAACTCGACCCGGCTAGCCCTGGTCGTAAGTATTAGGTGTTTCACCCATCTTAACCCATGGCTATGCCCTGACACTGAGCACTACTAAAACGACTCTATGTTGCTATATGACCACGTAAATAAGAATGTCACAAATTTATTTAACAGCCCGAAAAATCCGAGAAAAGGCACCTGATAATTCTCAAAATAAATTATTGGGGAAATAAAACTTTCTTTCCGACTCTCCGATGACACTTCATTAATGATAATATTTTCCAGAGCCTTACATTGTTCCAACCTGATCCAGCCATACTAAAACGCCATCGCGTTCAATTACACGTACATGCACCATCGATCACTCCTCGGTCTCAGCTTCATTGGCGACCATGAGGAGTCCGAATCCGATGTTGAGACCTATATAGTACACAATGTTTTCACTACCATGGTGAAATGTATTCTTGAAGTTAGCCACCCAAATCTGTACACGCTATATCAGATATTGCTAACACTACCAAGTTCATTTGCTGGACCAGAACGCTCATTTTCTACGCTGAAAATTGTGAAATCAACAATCCGACAGACATTAAAATCAGATATAATTGTTTTGAACACGGAGAAGGTCATTTGGTAGAGGATAGATCTTGACGAAATAATCAACAGAACTGCGGACACGCCAGAGCTGCGTAAATTGCTAATTTACTGAAATGTGTTCCTGATATGCGCTTACAGATGTCAATCGTTTATGCGAGGTATTGCTTATAAAATGTCATGATAAAAGTGTATACAGGTCACAATTCTATGGAATACAATTACTGCTTTTTACTGAGCGACGTTTCGACTAGGCTTCTCTAGTCATTATCAAGCTATGCTAACATATGAAAATATGACAATATATAGCTTGATAATGACTAAAGAAGCCTAGTCGAAACGTCGCTCAGTAAAAAGCAGTAATTGTATTCCATAGAATTGTGACCTGTATACTCTAGTTCAATTACTAAATGCCATTGAAACAGTTTATGATAAAAGTGATTGCGTTTTATTCACACCATTTCGTTGTATACCCTAAGTAAGGTATACCTGTCCCTCGTGATGCTTATTATACGCCCACATTGAAATGTGGTCGTATATTGTCGTCCCCCCCCCCGTCCGTTTATACACAGTGTTTAAGGTCATGAGACGAAGAAGCCTATTGATTTTCAGCGATTTTCGATAATTACTGCCAGAGTTATGGCCCTTGATCACGCTGTTTTAGGTCATGAGACGACGATTCCTATTGATTTTCAACAATATCCGATAATTACAGCCAGTGTTATGTCCTTGATCACTTTGAAATATCTTGTGGACGCTCTAGAGGCTAAAGTTAATATCCGATTGACTTTAGTTTTATACACAGTGTTAAAGGTCATGGGACCATGGACCGTGTATAGATGGACAGGCAACGTCCACGAAGCCTTTAGCATTCTGTGCCGCGGCAAAAACTAGGCCGGACAATCGTGACTAAAATAAGATTACCCCCCCCCCCCCCTCGCGCAATTACCGTTTAAAAGCAAAGAAACAGAAATCAATTCATAATATTTTTATTAGGCCTAATCTTGCTACTCTTTTCAACTGCTGCATTTGGAAATTTCTAAGTTCTAGGCTGGAGAAATTCGTCACTACCGGATAGGAATACTTATCGGGTTGAAAAATTACCATGTACATATAAGAATACCGTAAATTCTAAGGAGGAGTTCGAGAAATTAATCTGTATAAAATCCTGCAATGTCAAATATCACATCGCTTGATCTGGCGTTGGGGGATCACGTTGGCTAAGTGGGTAAGACGCTGGCTCTCTAGCCTGCATTGGCCGAGAAAGTTCATCCAGATTTTCCGGCGTGGTTCCCCCTTGTCAGTGATGCAGGACGGAGGGCCTGGCAATGATAGCTGTCTAGACGAAAAACCGAGGTCGTGTCTCGCGCGAGCGGTAGAGAAACCAACCAACGGGACTCGTTGCCTGTCCATCTATATACGGTCTATGATGAGACGAAGAAATTCTAGTGATTTTCAACGATTTCCGATAATTACTGTGGACGCTCTAATGACTAAAGTTAATATCCAATTGACTTTTAGATTTATACACTGTGTTTAAGCTCATGAGACAAAGACGCCTATTGATTTTCAACGATTTCCGATAATTACTGCTAGAGTTGTGACCCTTGATCACTTTGAAATATCTTGTGGACGCTTTGGCGGTTAAAGTTAATATCCGATTGACTTTAAATTTTTACACAATGTTTAAGGTCGTGAGACGAAGAAGTCCAGTGATTTTCAATGATTTCCGATAATTACTGTTAGAGTTATTGCCCTTGATCACTTTGAAATATCTTGTGGATGCTCTAGTGTTTAAGGTCGTGAGACGAAGAAGTCCAGTGATTTTCAATGATTTCCGATAATTACTGTTAGAGTTATTGCCCTTGATCACTTTGAAATATCTTGTGGATGCTCTAGGGACCAAAGTTACCATCCGATTGACATTAGATTGATAAACAGAGTTTAAGGCCTTGAGACGAACAAGTATATTGATTTTCAATGAATTTTGATAACTTGAACAGCTAAATCCATGATATTAAATGTTTCGTATACTAAACGTTAGCCTTGTGCAGAACTAAAAGCCAAACAATTTCTAATGATTTTCTGATAATTACTTAATGAGCTGTTACTCTTAATCAGATTTTAGTGTACATATTATAAATGTTTCATTACCGACAATAGAATAAATATGTGATAACTCTTGTTGACTGCCGGACGACTTAGCTGCTGTGGGCGTACGTTTCGTTGCCTGGCAACTTATCTTTTTTCTTTACCCGTAGGCCGATTAGTTCTTGGTTGTTGCCAACGCTTCATGTTCAGATTAAGAGGACTTAATCATAATCCATCAACCAAGTGTCAAGGTATATAGTATGCCATGGCTCAGATATACGTCAAATCAACTCTTGACGTATATTTGCATAAGAATCACAAAATTTCTCGGCGGTGGTGCCCTAAGTTCGGTCGACCTACCCTCATTCGGGGGGGGGGGGGCAATACATCTCTGTGAGAGACATAAAAATACTTTTTGAACGAACCGGAGACTTCGCACTAACCTATTCCCATTCCACTCAGCATGTCCAATATCTCCGGTTATATTGCAAATACAGATAACTAATTAAAATAATTTTAATTATTTTCTAAATGATCTAACCGGCTTATAAAATCCGAGTTCACGTTATCATTCAATTAATAATGCATGGCTATAAATAGTCACGTGTGACGTGCACAAGGCAGAGACCAGGGGGCATGCTTACATTAACACATGCTTTCAGTTCTTAGGTAGGTTGAGTTTATATATAGCTAACAAAGTCTTGGTTTACTTTGGCGAACAGATCACTGTGTTGGTGACTCCGCGTTATCTTCTATAGTCCGATCGTCAATGTAAATCCGTCGGCTTTTCGGGTAGAAATCGTGGAATAAGCTTTATTTTGTAGGTTTTGATGTTTGATTACAGTATGGGAAGCCATTATTTGAGGGTAGCCATTTTGCGATAATATTCCAAATTATTTTTTAATTTTCACCTTATTTATAATGTTATCGACATATCAACTGTGATTTGGCAATGTATTAATATTGGCGGCATTCATGACTATATCTCAGATTGTTTACCATCATTTCATGATGATATTTCCAAGATGGCGCCCATTTTTAACGGGAAAATGGGTCGGTGTGCTGATTTCGATTAACGAGGAGTGTTTGGTGTCAATATATATGTTTTCGGGGTCACAAATTCCATTCCTGAGATTTACAACCTTGTAAAATGATCACATGTTCATATACGTAGCATATTACCAAGATGGCTGGCATTTTTGGCGGGAAAATGAGACGATGTGCAGACTTTGATTAAGTGGTAGTGTTTGGTGTCAATATATTATGTTTACGGGGGCGCAGAGTCAATTTCTGACATTTACAACCTTGTAAAATGATCACATGTTCACATATTTAGTATGTTTTCAATATTGCTGCCACTTGTGGCGGAAAATCGGACGATGGGTTGATTTCGATTAAGTAGTTGTCTTTGGTGACAGTACTGTATATATGTTTTCGGGGAGGCAGATTCGATTTCTGTCATATACAACTACATGTACATAAAATGGTTGTATGTTTACCAATTTAGCATATTTCCAAGATGGTAGAACGTTTTCTAAACACATTATTAGCATTTATTTATCATCGATTTTCCTGGGAAAGTAAAGCCTATGTCTGGCATGAAGGCAAAAAGAACATAGCGGAAGCGTGGTGCTTACGCCACGTGCCCATCAGGCGCCTGCAACGACCACACCAAGCGCTTACTACAAGAAATTTCTACGCTCATTGCCAAGATCTAGCTGCGCGAAAAGTGTTCCCACCATGATCTCACGGTTACCAGTCAGACCGGGATACTTTCTCACCACACTCCAGTGACATGCCTACCAGGCGTAAGGCGTTCTCTCGTCACGCCTATAGCGACCGTGCCATGCTCACCCGTCCACACTCACTTTCAAAGAAGAAAACAACCAATAGTCAAGCAATCAAGAACATTTCATAGTTTTCTTGAGGTTTCCTCTTTGGGTGCTAGACTGAAGCATATACATAAAGGTCGTAACAGCGTAGCAAACATATGGCCAGGAGCTTTGTTCAAGCCTGGCAGCAACGTGGATGATAGTGGTGGGGACTTGGCTGTAAATGAAATACTTGCTAAGAAGCCCCCATAGCATAGATTATGTTATCAACTGACTTCTAAGATGAATGTAGAACGAACATGTGGAATGATATTCCGCTTGAGTTCAACTATTACATTGTTGGATAATATACCTAATGGGTAAACTCGGCACAGGCTTCCAGGAACATGCTACAAGCTTATACATAGCAGAATTGGATTCAGAAACCTTTACAGTAATGTGTTTAGAAAACTTCCTGCCACAAACAAAAATATGCTGAATGTGTGAACATACCACCATTTCACGCAGTTGTAAATTACAGAAATCGAATCTGCGCCCCCGAAAAACAAATATTGACACAAAAACGCGACTACGTAATCAAAATCAGCACATCGTCCCATTTTCCCGCCCGACATGAAAGCCATATTGGAAATATGCTAAACATGTGATAATTTTACACAGTTGTAAACGGCAAAAATGGAATCTGCTCCCCAAAAAATATATCCTGGTACCATAGACGACTACTTATTCAATATCCGCACATCGTTCCATCTTCCCGCCAAAAATGGCCGTCATATTGTAAATGTGCAAAATAATCATTTTATACAGTTGTTACTGACCGAAATGGATTATGTGCCCTTGAAAACATATATATTGACACCAACGACGACTACTTAATATCAGCACATCATCCTATTTTCCCGCCAAAAAAAATGACCGCCATCTTGTAAATATGCTAAGTATATGAACATGTGATCATTTTACAAGGTTGTAAATGTCAGGAATGGAATCTGTGGCCCCGAAAACATATATTTTGACACCAAGCACTACTACTTAATAGAAATCAGCACATCGTCCGATTTTCCCGCCAAAAATGGTCGCCATCTTGGAAATATCATACTGAAATGATGGAAAACAATCTGAAGTATAGTCATGAACCCTGCCAATATTAATACATCGCCAAATCACAGTTGATATGTCGATAACATTATAAATAAGGTGAAAATAATAAAATAAGTTGGAATATTATCGTAAAATGGCTACCCCCCTCAAATAATGGCGTCCTATACTATGAAGACCTTCTCAGAAAAAATGTCAACATTGTTTTTTTTGTAATCAAACATCAAAACCTACAAAATAAAGCTTATTCCATGATTTCTACCCGAAAAGCCGACGGATGGGAATTATGTAACAAACCGAATCCGACTACTACCTGGTATTCCCCAGTTTAGTAGTGACTATTATTATTATTATTACAGCTAATAGTGCGCCCTTCCATATGTTCAGGGGCATAATGTATGTGGCAAAGATTCACATTTCAACGACATCTTAGTCTTATTCTTCAAATCTGTTCAATGGATCCCAGGTTAGAATATTTTTTCGTTATTTCCATATAAATAACCTTTTAATATTCCATCATTTGGCGAGGTTGTAGTACAATAGTTTATCTATTATACTAAGCAATGGGATATTCCAAAACAATTCTAAAGAATACAAAGGTAAAACAACTGAAAGAAATTAATGATGATAGTAATTATTATGCTTTTTGTTTTGTAAAATTTGTTACACGATTTTTAAAAAGCGTGTATTAGATGAAAATCCACGGTGCACACCTCGCAATATATTAATTAGTACACTAATCAAAAAACGGTTCTTTTCACTTGCCACTTTTGTTTGTAAACGGGTTTATTGGTCTTCTGATAGTTATATTAATAGTCGCGATAAACCCCTTCATTAATAAACGTTTGAGATCTGAGATCAATCAAGAATACCTGTATTTTCATATAAAACTAAAGAAAAACAAACCAAAAAAACGAGTGGAATATAGTGGAATGTATTTATGAAATAAGGTATGAGTTATACAATAGATATAATAATTACATGTTTTGAAGAAAAAAAAATGGTATCAAAATACTGAATAAATTGCAAGTTTATCGTTTCTGTATAATATACTTTTTGCATAAAAATGTACAAATACTGCAATAAATGCAGATTTTAATTCATAGTAATTATACAAATATAGACATTAATAATAACACAATTTATTATTTAAAAAAATGATATTGTGAACGATATGTATATAAAAAAAGTATTTACATGGAATGGCAAGAACAAGGACGAAATGTTCTAAGTTTTTGTGACCTATTTTTTTATGTCAGACAATGAACGGTATCTGTAACCAAGTCTTAAATGTAGATACTCACCGACATTTCGTTTCGTTTTGTTATTTCTGTAAATGGAGTGATCATTAAAATATACGAAACGAAAATACAGTTTGAAGTAGGTTGTATTTTTCAGCACTTATATTGAGAGTATCTCATCACTGCAGATTTTAAGGAACCAGGGGCTTGTTTCACGAAATTTTAACTAAGATAAAATCCAAATTTTAGTAATTTGATTGGATAATATTAGATGGATTTTAGTGCTTAGCCAATCAAAATTGAAGTATCTACTAAAATTTGGATTTTATCTTTAGTTAAGATTTCGTGAAACAGGCCCCGGGTTCTAGAGTAAGGATTTAAATAACTGAGCACTTATTTTATGCGGGGTAGTTTTAAGATAGAACAATTCTTGTATATTGGATCTGGGCATTGTTATTTGAAAGAAATGCCAGTGTATAATATTAATTATTTCCATGTCTTTTATGATGTATATTAATGCATGTTAATGTACAAGAATGAGATCATACAATATAATACAACGAAAACGACACCATTGGGAATTTAATATACAAAAATATGTAATTAGAATCTATAAACAGCATAATAATTTTGAAGCAGTTTTTATCGATGAATTCATAAAACATAATAGAATTAATATATTCACACAATGGTGTATTGTAATTAATGAAAATGTAATATTAAATGTGCCTAAATTTATTTTTTTTTTAAACAAAAACAAAACATTATAGTTTTAATTTAATACTAATAGTTTATCACACCCAGAACACGTTCAAAACAAGGCACATTTTTTGAGGACATGTGGGATTGGCCAGCTCGAAATGAGATACCCCCCCCCCCCCTTTCTCCCCGGTTCTAAAGAGGAATTTGCGGTTTCGAGCTCGTCGTCAGTGGGTAAAAATAATTTCAATTTAACATGATTTGACTATTCAGTAAAACGAACGATGAGACAAAATACTTCTCTCTAACTAGATGGATAGTAGTTTTAAATATAACATTGTCCAATATAAAATACATTTATTTTCTATGTTAAAGTGATAATGGTTCTTCAATTGAACACTATTAATATTGCTAATGGTCTGCTGTTGACCATGGTTTAATTTGGTTACTGTATATACTTTTAACAATACATAAACATATTTACATAAAGAAAATGAATGTATAGGTAATTATCACGTGTACATATAGACAGACTTCCTTCATCACAATGTATAGTATACATATATAAATTTATATAATTTTAATATTCAACAGGAAAAAAAATGTTTAATAAAATAATCAAAACCGGAGACATGTATAATGATAGAGTTGATAACGAGACTTTTTAATACGATATTTGTACAAATAATACGAGAAAATGGTCGATACTATCTAAATGACTAGTTAATATTCTGCACGTATTGCTGTAAAATATATTTCACCATGCTCCTTGTGGTTTTATTGCTTATTGATAATATTATTAAAGTAGCGCGAGTTGAATGACGAGTGGAATCACAGAATTTATCCTACAAATATTCATTTACAAATAACTGAATCATTGTATATGAAATAAGGGACGTCGCTCTTATTTTTATTAACATTGAATCGTTTTTGTATGAAATAAGAGAGAATCGCTCTTATTTTTATTTAAACAATGGTTTGTACGGTTTTGTCTAGAAGGAATGATAATACGACACAAATGATTTCAACCTAAAACAAACACAGACACATTCATTTCTCGCTATGCCATGTTCTATTAACTAATAAACAAATGACTCACTAAGCTAGCTAGTGACATATGCATCGTCGTTATCTTGATATTATAAAGATGGGTAACATTATTATACACAAAGTGGTCTATGGGTTATGCTACACGTTATGAGGGATTATATTTCCCTAATCCAATAATATAAATCTACAATATACTTAATAGTATGTAATAAAATATACAATAATTAATATTAACAATATTTGATATAAAAAAAATATATATATATATCTATATATTTATTTACATTATAGAAATGAATTTATAATAATAATCTCACACATAATAGCCACATGACTGGGCACAAAAACATTTTATTTGCTCCGCGAAGCATTTACTCAACTTGTTAATAACTTAAGTCTAAATTATAACATAATTTCAGGGTTGCATAGAATTTCACTATCACTAAACTTACATAAACAAAAACGAACAACATATATTGAGGAAATACTTCCCTGAGCAAAAGAAGTTCTTGGTCCATTTATGATGAAGAACGTTAACAGTTATTAAACATGCACACTTTCAGGAATATTACGGTGGCTATACACGCCCTACAATATGCATCAATGACGACAACGTCAATAAGATTCAGTCTATCACATTTTGCTTCTGTATGAAGGAATTAAGTAGCAACACTATAGCTTCTATAAATGAGTCTCCCACGATTCTTGCTCTATATCAAATAATGTTGTCTTTCCATTTCCTATGTTACCGTTTAATTTTACTCCAGACTTTCCGTTACTATTCTAAAAATTAAAACACAGGCAGGCATTAGTAAAATTACAAATCATTATAATTGCTAAAAAATAAAAATTAGTTATGATCTACATAAAACCATAGGCTAAAACAAAAGGAGATGGTACACATATTTCTATATACTTACAATAACGACAGCTACTAGAATAAACCTTTGGGGGTCTCGATATCAAATAAATACCCAATTGAATTAAACAGTGCGTTCATTGCAGAACATAACTGGTAATTGTCAATTGGAAAGGGTAGAAACACCAAAAAGAAAACTCACAGTTAATGTCAACACACAAAATTCTACTGATTTATTAAAACATCGCCATTTATAAACTTGATGACGTCAAATTGAAGGATCTAGTAGTAAAGTTGATCAAGTTTTCATCATAATTATAGCCTTTGTTAGCATATACAAACAAAGGGGTCATCCCCTGGTCGAACCGGGTTTAATACGAATCATATAATCGTTTCAAAAATTTGGAAAATGTATATGGCCTTATGCTTTTATAAAATGAAGTAAACAGACACCCCCACAAATATTAATGAAAACTAAAAATTGTTAGGTGCGTAAATATAATGATGTGATTGTAATGGAAATTAATATCAATACACTTTGTGGTTCTATACTACATACAACATCAACAGTTTTATTTCAAGTTTAGTCTCATATAATAATTCACAGACTCAACAACCGGAACTACTATGAAACCAACGAAGCCCAAACTTCAGGGCCCGTATCCCCGTATGGCCTGTGACTTGTAGTAGCCTACCAGACGCTTGGTACGATACAGACAAACATTTGTCATTCGTTAATAATACCATTCAAAACAGTATCTGTTAAGAATGTTAATCAAAATAGTATCTGTTAAAAAATTTAATCAAAATAGTATCGGTCAAAAATGTTAATCAAAATAGTATCTGTTAAAAAATTTAATCAAAATATTATCTGTTAAAAATGTCAATCAAAATAGTATGTGTTAAAATGTTAATCAAAATATTACCCATTAAACCACTATTTAACAATTTGAGAAATCCCTCATTAGATAATTTATTTAGTAGATTGCCGTATCCACAAAACAAGCATATTGATTTTTGCAAAATACATGTAATATAAGTTGTTTTAAGGATGATTACGATGATTTTAGAATGTTAGGTGACCAGGCTACCATATCCATAAAGTTGAAGCATAAGTAGATTTAGCATGAAAATGAGTTTGTCTGAAGGATGATCACGGCGGATCAGAGTGGGATCTCGTGGGTAGGATGTAGTGGCTGGTCTAACGTAGACTAGTCGAGAAATTCGGACAATTTTAGGACTATCAACAAATTAAGCTTGCAAAATTAAGAGTTGCTTCCCGTGACATGCTTATTGGTATTCTAAGCTACGTATTACTACTATATTATAACTATTGTGTTATTGTGGTGCAATTATTAGGGTTCCAAGGTGTGCACGTTGTACTTACTTCATGCATACATGCACACATACAAACAGGATCATAAGGTTGTAGTTTTTTGCTGTTGGGAATAAAAAAACAAGGGTAAAGGTCAAGCAAATTAAAAGCCGGCCCCGAGGAGCAGTACTTTTCTATAATTAATTTTAGTTTTCTTTTCTTTATTCAGCTTCCAGCAGTAATGCATATTTAAATCAAAATTAATTTAAAATTAAATTTTTATCAATTTATATTACAATACTAATTAGCATAGTCAAAATATCGATCAAGTGTTTATGGATTATTTTTAAATCAGAATTTCAGGAAAGAACAGCAAAGATTTGAACTGTAAAAGCTTGATATATTGTGATATAGGATTGTGATAGGAAATACAAGATAGTGATAGGAAATACTATAGGACAGTGATACGAAATATGGACCCCCACCCTCCTGGATGGATGTTACTTAAAACACATGGCCAGGCGTATCACACAAAGTTAAAATGTTACGCAAAAAAAAAAAAGAAAAAAAAAGATTGAAAACCGTACCAGTTTTATTTAAACAAGATATATTAGTAAAATAAGAAATAAATGAAATCCGTTGAGCTATAGGATGTAATTTCAATTGGTGTTGGCCTACATAACTATTTTGTAATAGCTCAATAACAATATCCACCGTTATGAAACATTAGATGTTACTGAAACACTTAGTATTATTTCAAACATCAATCTAAAGAAATGTGTGGTTTGCTATTATATTCATGAACAGATGTCGTTTAGCCTTTCTTCAAACACCACAACCTCTTGATTTTTCAGAAACTAACCAGAGAATAGAGAATCCACAGACGAGAAAAGAGGAAGTCGACCAAGGCAGAAAAATACACATTCAATTTCAAAATGACCAATATATAACCGAACTTACCGAATCGAGAGCAGCATGTCTAGGTGAAGAATCATTTAATGCTATTTCTGCATTCTCTGCTAAAGGCTGTTTTCTATTATTATCTAAGCTATCTGAGATTTCTAGTTTGTTTTCATATGTAAATTCTCCACTACCAGAATTGGAACTAGCCCACGATCTTCTGTAACCTATATCATCTGGATCTTCTGGCATTCTGTATTTCTGTCTTGTATGCCTCCTTGAACACTGCAAATTGAACCGTAGCACCATTATTTTAAACATTCAATTGGTTGTGAAGAATTTATTTATAAATGAAGATTTTTATTTATTTTTCTTTTTTTTGGGGGGGGGGGGGGCAATGTGTTCCATAAATCTTTATATATTTTCTGATAACGGCTTCTTTTAGTCCAGAGTTTTCAAGTCTCATTATGATCACGAAAAATATAAGCAAATGTTTAATATATTACTTACCAGTACACACATCATAAATAACAAGAACAGTAATAATACGCCCCCACAAACTATAACCGCTATAGCCCAATGTGGTAATAGTTGAGATTTTGGTGGAACACCACCTGGTGCTGGTGTCGTTGCTGTGGTGGATCCTTTCTCTGAAATGATAATATATAAAAACCCAAGTTAACTAACAATTCACCCATTTTGTTGTGGAAGTTGTGGATCCAGGTTTATCTTGAAAAGTTTCAATATGCACGAGATTGGACCTTTTTTATGTTTACTTATATTGGCGCGAAAGAAAATTTCAATCAAACTTACAAGCTTGGTAATCGGCGATATATCGATTTATCATTACATAAAGAGCTTATCATAAAATATCAGATTTGTCTTTTACATTGAACCGTAATTAAAACCTGATTTATTGTATCTTCATATAAAATTAGAATAAACCTACCTTGATGCTCTATGGTTTGTTCATCGATTGTATAGGTTCCCAGTAAATTATTATTACTTGCTATACTATCTTTAAAGACTTTCGTGACTGCATCGGGAGACACTGACTCAAAACCTTGGAACGTAGCAGAATAATCAACTATCACACTTCCTTGACTAAAATTATAGACAATAATTATGTGAAAAACATTACAGGGAACCTGAAGAAATATTTTTAAAAAGCCAAAATAATATAAAATACATAAATTTGCGTCGCTCTCACCTTCCAGTTTAGTTAGGGAAAGAGAGAGAGATGGGGTTTTAAATCAAATCAACACAAACTAGGTCATGGGATCGAAACCACGTCACTTGACTCATTGGCATACCTTATGACCTTTAAAGGCCTACCGTATGCCCCCACCCCCGGCACGCCAAAACACACAATTTTTACTTAAATAAAAAAACTTACAATGATCGATGAAAGACCTACATAACGATGTAATTTCGCGACTATCATAAATTGGCAAATCTGTTTCAAATCTCGGTTCAAGTTGTGGAAGGTATATTATGTAAAACTCGGAGAAAGTCCACGATGTAAGGTCAAATTATTCTTCAAGTAACAGCTCTGTCTTTTCTTTGCCTAAACATTCTGTCGGAGTACCCGATTTTGGTATTTGGACATTCGTTATTTTGATACGTTAATGTTGTGTATTATGATTAGGATTTCACTTGAGTTATTATATTTATGGAAGTCATTCTTACCTAAAAGTAACGTCATCGTTAATATTCTTGAAGGTATCCTTTAAATCACTGTTTTTAAACATCTTATCTAACTGTAAATAAAATAATAAAAAATACAATTAAGTGCAATCGGTCAATGTCCAAATGTATAATCGGTGTACTGAAAAAGATAATCATTTAATCAATGGAATGGAATGAGATTTAATGTCATTAACACTATACGTCAGGCATTTTGACACAGACATGACATGGTAAATTTTATGTCTATCGTTACTTGCATGCAATGGAATATATGGGGATTTTAGACCGTACAGCGACGTTTCCGCCTACTCTTTTCTGATTTCGATGAGGTTTATTTTACGTGCACCACGAAGTTTTATTTTACGTGCACCCCCCGATGTGTACGGTGGTTTACCTTGATTTTTTCGTCATATCCGAGAGACTAACCACTGCCAACCTGGCGTGCAAAGGATAGGCTAGAAATATTCATTTAATAAAAAATAATCTTTAGACAATTAGTTTATTTAACACTACGGGATTTCGTTTTCTATTCAATAAACATGTATATCGATAAGTTTTGATAGACACTCAAACAATTTTTTAAAATGTGCATTTTTAATGGGTATTGAAAACATGTTTTATTATGGGATTATATTGCGTCTTTCACACAATTTCAACTAGTACACACAAACAAGAAACCTTCATAATGGAATATCAGACGTTCAAACTAAATTAGGAGTCATAAAAATGTATATAATATGTGCAGAGAATATACGAGTTTACACACGACAATAAATATGCGAACCATGACACGCCTAAAGTACACATTACTAATAGATATCGCACGTCATTTATAAAAAGTAATACTTTGCCGAAGGTTAAATTATAATATAGAGCTAAGACGTAATATGGTTTGAAAAATTGGTGTATATAATCAACCTTTCTGCTAAATTTTATATAAAATTGGAGTTAATCGAGCAATTGGTTTCTGAAATCAAAGTCCCAACATCCAGTGACATGCCTTATTTACTTATTATATAACTACTGAAAACATATCTCTCGTCAATTTGGAAAGTTCCTATATATAACTATATAACTGACGGATGTTTAGTTCAATTTTATATAACAAAAAGAAGAATTACCTTTGTTTTCAAGTCATTTTTCAAAGTTATATACTCAACAGTTGTTTTATTGTTCAGTGCATCTGACCATATGCTACCGTTGGTTATCCTAAACCGGCCATCTATCTCCACCGTTACTATAGGACGAGGACTTGTAATCACTAACGATGATGTTACTATCATTGAACTGCTTGGTGATGGTGTTATTTCTGATGACACAATAATGACTGAGGATGTGGCCATAATCGATGAAGATGCTGCTATTTCTGACGAAGACGTTGCCATCTCTGATGAAGCCATAATTCGTGTTGTTGATGATGATACCGATGAGGCTACTATCTCCAAAGACGATGATGGCATAGTGGATGTTTGGATTACTGATAATGATGAATATGATGATGGTACAAGCATGGACGTTGTCATTATTTTGGATGATGTTTCCATTAGTGGCGACGAAGCCAGTATCGACGATGTCATCATTTCTAAAGAGGAAACCATATTGGATGACAAACTAACAATTCCAGAGGATGGCGTCAATAAAGTAGAGGATATCATGTCAGAGGATGTTGTGGTCATTCCATAGGATGGTATCATGACTATGGAAGAAGACGTAGCTGTTTCGGAGGAAGGTATCATCGCTGTGGAAGATGAGGCAGACATCTCCGATGAAGGTATCCCGGATGACGGTATCATAATCAAAGATGAGGACGTTGTCATTTCAGAGGAAGTTTTTATTTCTGGTAATGGTACTGAGGAAGAAGTTGTTATCATCTCAAAAGAAGAATATACCATTGATAATGTTGATATTTCTTCCGATACCATTTGACTGGAAGATGTAATAACCTCTACAGAAGATATTGACATCGACGGTTCCATAACTAAGGACGAGTACATTGACGAAGAGGTTAAAATAGGAGATGCCAGCATTAAGGAACTTGATATTTCAGAGGACGGTATCATAATCAGCGATGATGATGTCATTTCAGAGGATGTTGTTATTTCTGGTAATGATATCGAGGAAAAGGGTGTAGCCATTGATGATGTGAGTATCTTATCTGATTCCATAAGATCTGAAGATGTTATGAGGTAGGAAAAAGATGAAAATATATCTAACGAAGAAGAGTCCACTGATGATGAATGTAATTCCGATGGCAGTACAGGTAATAATTCTGACACAAACGAGGACGATGGTACCATTTCTGAGGAGACCACATCGGTTGGCAAGATAACAATCAAGGATGAAGATGACGATTCCATTTCTGATGGCATAAATGCCACTGAGCTAAGACTAGATGATGTTGACGATAAAATCGTTTCTATCGGCGAAGATGTAAGTATCGATGGCAAAATTACACTCATGGAGGATGAAGTGATCATTTCTGAGGACAGCATCTCGGAAGATGATGTCATTTGTGTTGGCAAGATCACATTCATTGAGGAAGATGACGATACTATTTCTGATGACATAAACGCCACCGAGCTAAGACTAGATGATGTTGACGATAAAATAGTTTCTATCGGCGAAGATGTGAGTATCGATGGCAAAACTACACCCATGGAGGATGAAGTGACCATTTCTGAGATCACCACCTCGGACGATGATGTCATTTGTGTTGGCAAGATCACATTCATTGAGGAAGATGGTGATACCATTTCTGATGACATAAAGGACTCTGAGCTAAGACTTGATGATATTGATGATACAATTGTTTCTATCGACGAAGATGAGAGTATCGATGGCAAAATTACACCCATGGATGAAGTGACCATTTCTGAGAACACCACCTCGGACGATGATGTCATTTGTGTTGGTAAGATTACATTCATTGAGGAGAATGGCGATACGATTTCTGACTCTCGGCTAAGACTTGAATATGCTGATGTTTCCAGTTCTGATGAAATAAACGGCACGGAACTAACACTTGGGGATTCCGATAACTCCAAGGACGGTAAAACAGGCAGTGCAGTCGATGATGAAAAATCCATTATAGATAAAGAAGTTTCCATTTGTGAGGATGAAATTTCTGATGAGGACATTATATGTGATAACTCTGACATTTGACTAGTTGGGTCGCTTGATATAATGTCCGATACCGTCGCCGATGTTGACATGATACTGGTACTCTGTGCTGGTAAAGGTAGGTCAGTTGACGAGGAAACCATCTCTGGTGATTGTGATATAATTGGTAATATTGTTGATGATGACGAAGGGTACGAACTCAGTTCGTCTATAGACATATCGATAACTCCAAATGAAGATGTCATAACCAATCCCGAATCTATGCTTGATGATGACGACACAATAGGTAACAAAATATTGGTTGACGAGGAGCCTCGAATTTCTGAAAGTTCCGTGACCACAAAAGCAGAGGATGATGATACTTCTGACGCCATGATCATTTCCGTTAGAGATACCAAATGTGACTTAGTAGACATGTCTGATGCTTCAGACATAAAAATGGATGACGATGACTGGTCTGGTTTAGGCAAAGCCACTTCACTTGATGATGATGCTACCTCTGTTGAATGGGATAGCTGTTCTAAATATGAACTGGAATAACTTTGAATCATTGAATTTGTAGATGTTATTTCTGTCAAATCCAGTGATAAAGATGATACTTCCACCGTCGGTGATATAGCGGAGGATGGTGATGTCACGACTGAATCCGAGATAAGTAACATTCCCGAAGAAGAGGATTGGGATTCTGTTGCCATTATTGGTGAAGAACTCGTCAATACTTCATAGAATGACGAAACAGACATGGACACCATGGGTTGGTACATACTTGTAGAATACGAGTTCACCACTTCTTCAGAGGCAGCAACTGAGGGCGACGTGTTTATCGATTCTGTTGCCATAATAATGAATGATTCTGATGTTAACTGTTCCGTTGCCTCGGTGGATTGGGACGATTCCATTTCACTGGATTTTGTTGGTATGATGGTGACAACTGAAGATGATTCTCGTATCATGGAAGCTGATGGCGATCCTTCCCAACTAGAATCTGTCGAAAGAGCCTCTTGTTCAGGTATTGAATTAGTTTCTATGACTTTGGTTTCTGTTGCAAAAGTGGGAATAATAGTAGAAGACGACATACTCGAGGACATTTCCGTATATTTAGCTGATGTTATGTACGGCGAAGAAAATTCAATGGAACTTGACTGCGAAGGGAATACTTCTACATTCACTGAAGAGCTGGACCTTAAAGTCAATGATGTGGTTTGTGCCATTTCTGTAGATTTAACATAATTACTGGCCAACACTTCAGATTGCATGGGTGTAGAGATTTCTGCATTCAACATTGATGATCTACTAGGAGAAAAATATTCCGTAAAAATAGAGGAAGATCCATCTGGCATATGCGTTGAGCTCTCTTCTGTGTATCTAGTACTCGATTCCTTTTGAACTTCATACGATGAAACCCCAGAGTGTGTTATTGAAGATGATGCCCCGATCGACATTTCTATTGTCGATTTCACAAACGAAGTATTCGGCAGCTCTTGTACGGTACTTGTCTCTTTACCTCCGGCAATAACTACCTCTGATGATGTTTCAGGATTTAATGATGAGCTCAACATATAAATATCGCTTGATTCTGGCAGAGGAAGTGTTGAAGACATGACCATTTCAGCTTGCTTTGTGGAATATGGTGTGGAAGTTTGTAAAGACACTAACAAACTTGTCTTTATTACATCCACCAATCGACTAGACTCCACAGCAGTAACAGAACTTGACTCTTGTAGAGCTGATTCGTGAAACACAGATGATAACTGTACCGTAACCTGATTAGAGGTAGTTGCCGAAAGCTCAAATTGGTCAGAATCGTTCACAATCGAAGTAGTCATATGAAAACTAGGTATTGTTTGGTGTTCCATGGAGGTGTGGGTTGTATCCTGTACTGCTACTGGAGAGGAGGATTGAATAACTGTGTTGGAGGTAGACTGCATTGCTACCTCAGGCGACGATTCGACTGTTGCTGCTTGGGAGGATGATTGGTCGGCAAATTGAGAAGATCCGGGTTCAGATGAGGACTGTATTATATATTGAGAGGATTTCTGGAGTACCGCTGGAGTAGAAGATACAATTACATCTTGAGAAGAAGTACGGAAAAAATCTTGAGATGAAGACTCGACTACTGCTATTGGAGATTCCAGTTTTACTATCTCTGAACTAGACAAGGTCTCTTCTTTTAAAGCATCCATTGTCGACGAACTTTGCTGAAGAACAGGTGTGCTCGATTGGGGCACATCATAAGATGTTTGAAGCGGTTGTTCGGCCAAGGAAGTAGTGGCAACAGTTGGTTGTTCACTTGATGATGCCACAATTATCTCAGACGTTGGTTCCCCAGTCTGTGTTGTCGTTTCCTGTTCACCTAATGTCATTGATGTTACTTTAACTGAGTTTACCACACTAGGAGTTTGAAGGCCTGGTGATGATTCGGCAATTAAAGAGCTGGCCGGAACAAATAAATTTTCGATATTTGATGACGATTCTGGGCTTATTTCGGATGCAGTATCTGTGGCTGTCATTTTTGTTATTGAAGTAGGTTGTATATCGACAGCTGTTTGGTCTTGGTTTGACCATTCAGTGGACGGGCCAGTAGTCATCAATGTACTAGATGTTTCTACATTGTTTGAAGTTTGTTGTTGAGATTCGGTTATGATGGATGGCGCTGGGTTATTTGTACTTGGAGTAACTTGAAAATAAAAGAAAAAACACATGCGCAAATCAGTAAATGTTATAGTGAGAGACAGACAGAGAGAGAGAGAAAGAGACAGAAATGGGGTTTAACGTTCACTCGACACAAACTACGTCATTTCGGATCTAACATATTGTTCAATTTTATTTCAATAATTCGCTTGGGCGTAGGGGATCCCCGGAGAAAACCCACGTGGTTGTACTACTCCTTGTCAAGTACAAGCAGGGAAATCCAACGCTACTTGACAGGCCGTCTGATTCAGCGCGTACGCGTTAATTTTTGTTATTTGATTACTTTGCTGTTGGCGTGAGTTATCCATACACACTGTTAAATACACATGTATGTGCATGCTACACGCGGTATGTGTGATATTTGTATACAACAACGTTATCTGTATACTAAGTCATTTATGCATACTGTACTAGTATTTTAGTTTTTAAAAACCCGTTTATATGTAAAAGTCGTATTAGGAAATGGTAACAACGAATTATAGAGGGTATATGGATTGCCTTACTGTTGAAAATAGATACATTTTGTAGCCGCAAAGACTGGATTAGTTCTCCCAGCAATATTATATTTAATATATCCATGTCGCTTAACGATGTATTTATTGATAGACTGACATCCGCCGTAACATTGGGTTCTCTGAAAAATATGAATAACAATGGTTATATATGGATTTCAAATAAAGGTGTGTGTGTTGGGGGGGGGGGGTAACTGTGCATTGAAAGTATGGCAAATTATATGAAATAGAATATTGTACTGATTAGGTTTACTCACAAGAAGCTTCAACATTTAACACATTTAAACACGTTTTATTTGTATGGAACGGGTACATCTCCATAATTTAAATGCATCGTATTGACGAAGAATTGAATATATTATGTTCCCATTACGTTTACTCGTAATAAGATTAAAACATTAAAGTTTAATACATTTAAACCGCGTTTAATTTGTATGAAATGGTTAATGATTACACTATCATATCTGAGAGAGAGAGAGAGAGAGAGAGAGAGCCTGGCATAATATGCCAATAAAGTTTAACTATACAGAGGAAGAGTTCTATGATTGTTGTTTGAGGAAACTAGAAGTATAGTTTATGATAATACCTCACCCAACACCTTAATCTAATACTTGACTGAACATATATAACTAAAATCTCGGCATATATTTCTTTTTATTCCACTTTTAACCCCACAGCCTTTTTTCTTCTTTGTTAATATTGACTGAATAATTAGGAGAACAAAGGGATTGCGTTAAGCTTTCCTAAATGAGTGGAAACCAGAGTCCAGAAAAGATCAAAGTACTAATTCGCACGATTATAGATCAGTTGAACTTTCACCAATGGCTTAGGTTTTAATACTCACCTAAAATTAGAAAGTGTCACACTTAATACATCAACATTTTCGTTACTAAATGTTAATTCAAGCTGAAAAAAGAAAAAAGACACATATTGGGACATAACATAAAACCGTGTATTGTTGTGCAATATGCAAGAGAGTGTATCCCTGTTTATTATTGGCCGTTAAAGATACGTTTCATCGGCGGTCGACATCGTAAGAACCATTGACTGAAAAATATATTTAAACTGTGGCCAAAATCTTACTAAATACTCCAAGCAAAGCATTCCTTTTCAGTCAACATATTTTAATGTAACAATAATCAAGTACACCCGAAAGATGATTAAAAGATGAACTTTGCAGCGGCCGAAGCACTCATTGCCGATCTGTATTTATAAACCATTTATTCAGTGTGTTATTATTATGGAATTTTAGTCCATTTAGTCGTTAGAAATGAGTTCATTGGCTAGAATACAAGGCCTGATTATGTTTAAAGGTGCATATCTGTAAAACATGTAAAATATATTCTACTGACAATAGGCGTAAAACAAAATTGCAAATTATAAGTAATAATGAGACGGTTTTGATGGAGACATTTTCTTTTAAATTGCGGAGTCTTATGTTTGTTTATAAAAGTGTCTATGATTATTTGACACATTCAACAAACCCAAACGGTCATGGTGAAAAAATCTGTGGTGACAGTTATTTCCATGCTTGATGGTGGTGATTGACATATCACATGTCAAAATATAGAGACCAATATGACATTTTAATGTCAAATAAATCACGTGCTGTCATCAATTACAGTTGTTCAATACATAATTATAACAACCAATATCAACGGGTAATTAGTACATTTAAATATATACCATCAGGACTGTAATTGTGTCCAAATGGATTGAAGAACTGTATTTTAATTACGAAAAAAATTTCAATGTCATAAACTCACAAACTGATTACTGATAATTTAATTATTTAATCAAATTAGTATTGCTGTTTCTGTATTTGATATTCTTTGAATGACGGACTTACATGGGATTGGGATTGACGTTACTTTTTTTTATTAATAAAATGTCAAATCAAGATCTACCGTAAATGATTTCAAGTTCCGCGGTTCTTCGAAGAACTTGCTATCACCTGATTCTAGTATCGTGGTAAAATGGGATGTTTGCCAGGGCAGTGCCATCCACGTCACATACTTGATCATTGTACCATGACCGTAATTGCCGCATTTTATCGATCTTCTACCTCTTTGATCCACCAAAATGTTAAAGATACATTATGGGAGATTAGTTAAAGAGCTGGCAATTCTCACTATAATAGTTAAAAACTAGATAATGTAAAGGCAATTTGCTGAAAATTTCAGTCAAATTGATCCACTATGACCCGAGATTTTAGCGATTGAATATTGGGGCTAGCCTCGATCATCATTACTAAAGTCTGTAGGATAAAAAACATAGTCTCGATTATCCATTTTTTGATATAATTATGAATGGAAGTCGAACAGCAAATCCAATAAACATAGCAGGCTACCGATGTCATCGATCGTTGATTATGGTCTGGATAAGTTAATTATGTCTAATTAATAATTTAGATAACATTTCAGGCCTCATGAAAGACCTGCAATAAGCAGATTTAGCTCTTGCATAATGTATGTTTAAGTGTTAAATATTGTAATGTGTGTTAACAAATAATTAGATGTGGACTTCATTTAGAAACAGCCACATATACATTTATTTTATTTTTTTTTTTTTGGTTAAAATGGCGTTACAGCCATCGTCATAAATGGCCTTGTAATATTCAATGAATGCCTGATGAACCTGAAAAATTCCCAGGAGCTGATGGGTATTGTTTACTGATGATGATAACATAACTGTTCTTTCCCGCTTTTCGTGTTTTTTCAACAAATTGTTAACACCCCTATTGTTAGATTATTGACTTAATATTTTTGGACCGAGATAAACATTTATCGCTTAGCAGCATTGTTGCCAAGTGTAAATTTGTAGGTATATCTCGGGAATGAATCGTTATTTGTTTACTTTGTTGTTTGTTTGTTTTATTGACACAAAAACAAAGATAAATATAGGTCGCAACTGTATTTTTCAGAAGGAACTACACATTGTTTTCAGTCGTGGTTCACGTCGGCTTTATACATATGTCTAGTATAGATGTAACATCTTTCATATCAATAAGGTTCACTGGAGATCAATATCATAAAGAATTTAGATTGCTTGACAACGAAACATGTGCAGCTACATCGTCCGGACAGTCCATAAAGGCAAAATCTTCAGGCAGTAAAATAGTATTGCTGAAATTCAATAGACTTTAAATAATGCATATAAATTTCATACAGATTGGATGATAACTTTTGTGGTTAGAGCGTTCACAAGGTTGTACAAAGTGAAACAAAGAAGGGTCATAACTCTAGAAGTAATTAAGGGAAATCGTTGAAATTCAATAGGATGCTTCGGCTCAATAATGTCAACATCACAAATTTAGTCTGCAGGGCGTTAACAAGAAATTTTGGACGACGGATGGGTCGACGGACATATGACGACAATATACGACCACATTTCAATGTGGATGTATTACAAACGAATTGGTTAAATAATAATATTATAAACTTACTCGTGTGGTTAAATTACTTTTTAAATCTGAATAAATTTGACTTTCTGAGTCACTATAGTCTTCTTGCCACGTTCCTGATAAATCTATTAAGGTTCCATTAATCTCCTTTGCAACTGAAAAACAGAAACAAATTATTGGGGTTTTGTTGGTTTGTTTTGTGAAAAAATGACATTTCAGTATACGTGCATACAAACAAACTTAAATTGCATAATAAAGGCATGACTTGCACATGTTTACATGAAGCTGTTTCCATTTCTTATATTCCTTGTTTTAAAATATTTTTCAAAAAGTGTCCGTTATAAGTATGTAACTTTTTTTTTCAGCTAGGGATCCAAGGTGGCTAAGTGGTAAGACGCTGACTCGCTAGCCTAGAGGTCGCGTGTTCGATCCCTGCATTGGCCGAGAAAGTTCATCGGGATTTTCCGACGTGGTTTTCCCCTTGGCTGTGGTGCAGCTGACGTTCGGATGGGACGAAAAACCGAGGTCGCGTGCACGTAAAGATCTCTTTTGCAATTCGATATAAGAGTAGACCATAGTGCCGCTGCCCGGGCAAAATTTCCCCCACAGCACACTACATGGCGTATGCCCGTCTTCATTATCCCAGTCGGAGCAGAACAGTAGGACGTTAAACCCCATATTATTTCATTTCATTTATTATTTTTTTTTTTTCAGTTTAATTCGTTTCTTTTGGTGATATCACATTTTGTAGTTTAGTTTTATGAATGCAACTAAGAAGATAGTTTAAAGATGACTGATTATGAGCTTGTGCACTACATACATGTTACAGTTGACATTCAACTGTTAATACTTCAAGAAAAACGTTTTCTAAAAGGGTGGTATGTCCGTACCGTTTCTTTACAAACAGAATTGCAACGAAACGATTTAAACTTTTACAGTTGTTCCCCTAAATATGTAAAAAGAAATGTTAGTGGTAAATTGTTGGGTTAAAATGGGTTTAAAGAAAATTACAATGGTATAAGGCTGAACATATATAATAATATGTGTACATGAAAATATTATAAACACACGTGTGTGAATTATATTATTTTAAATTTCCAATGAAAATCCTAAAATTCGGTATCCAAAATTCATATGCTTTAATTTTTCATTTATATTGTGTTCATACTTTGCTCTAATCCAGTGAAAGGGAAGGATTGTAAATGTTCTCCCTGTGTAATGGCAATCCGTTCATACCCCAAGCTTGTATAAATTACTGTTAATGAAGATAAACCACATCGCTCATACTAATCTCAGATTAACTTGTTTACTCAAACTTGGGAACAAACCAACTTTAATCCTTAAATTATATTCACGAATTTTATTGTTATATTACAATAGATGAAATAAATCGGCCAATGTCCGAGCAAAAGCTGGCCATTATCATAAGACAATATTTACCTTACAACACGCAGTTTATAGTAAATCGTACGGCTACTAAATGAATTATTCGATGTAGGTTACTATATAAAAGGCTTAACTCGTTCGCACTCAAAACTGTCAAATATCTGAATGTCATTTATTAATACAACTGAATACCATAGACTATAGTATTGACATTAGCTTGGACACATTTTCAGTGATATTATACCGGGCATGGACACATGACTGTTGTCATATTGGTAATATCAATACAATTTTATAGAACCATTTGAAGCAGAACTAACTTTACACCTTGTCAAATATCTCCTTCACTATTTATAAAACATGTTAATTCAAAGGGAAATGTCGAGTCCCTGTTTAAATTTTCACCTAGAGTTATTCCACGCATGTTTATTTAACGGTAAATTTCATAAATATCCAATAGACCGTTATCTTGTATTTAGAATTGCGCTCGAAATAAAGAGGGGCATTGAGATTCTCGTCTTTCCTATGCAATATAGGCTAGTTTCTTGGCTAAAAGAATTTAACACCAATGGAAGAAAACTAAACTGTTAATAAAGATAACATGCACATACATGGCAACTTCTTGTCATAGTTCTTTTGTTTTAACTCGAACTAAAGATCTGTTAAATAGCGCCATTTTAAAACGACTTGCTTTCTTTAGATAAAATACATGAAAACATACAATGACACTTGTCCTATTAAAGATTACAAATGTGAAATTTTCATTTGATACCTATATATTTGTGGTCTACTGATATATACAAATAACCTTAATGTGTCCGGAATAGTAATATATTCTATTTAAAGCATGTATGCAAAGTAATTTATATTCAATTTTTGAAAACAATCATTGCAAGTTCTAATCTATTATGTTCGGTGAAATACGTGAATAGTTCAAATTGATCTGCAAACGTTTACGCCTGCTGACAGGTACATGGGGACAGGCACGCTCTTATATGGTGGACCTATGTCATTTTTTCAAAATATTTTCATGATTTTCTGGGATTTCTTCTTAATATTGTTCAAATTTTTTAATCTGCTATATTTTTCTTCCTATTTGGTGCTAAATAATATAATATTTACTATCAAACATGTTCGTATTAAAAATCATACCTTTTGCCTATACATTTTTAATACGAACGTGTTTGATAGTAAATATTATATTTTTTAGCACCAAAAAGGAAGAATATGAAGAAAAAAAACAAAATCAAAAATTTTGAAAAAATCACATACGTAAGAAGGGCGTTCCTGTTCTCATGTACCTGTGTGCCTGCTCATTCCATTTTACTTGCGTCTCTTATTATTATTTTGTCGTTTGTGAATCAGCCTTTACTAATTACTTTCACATTGTCTTGTAGGTTACGTTTTTATTTCGGCATTACAAAATGACACCAGAAAACATAGAATACACGACTCGTGCACTGATTATAAAGTGTCAATTGTGTCTTAAATATTGGATATTAGGATCCCATATTTTCACGGCAAGATAATAACATCAATAGTGATTGAAATTGACCAATATTGAATTCTAATTCGTGTTTTTAATTTCGAATATTATGGAAAATATTGAGTTCGAGTCAGAAAAAGCAAATATCTTCTTTCTAAAAGCACACATCAATATACTCTTTTTATAACTCATCTGGTAGAAATGCATATCTATGCGTTTATATATCATGCATTTTTTATATCTTTAAATCGTATAGCTAAAATATATATTTTGTGCATAAGATCAAGTTCGTGTATTTGTGGGTGTGTTTGCTAATGGTAACCAAATGGTTAAACTAGTATTCTAAATATTTTACATGTAGTAAAGCCAAAGTCCTTAATTGATGGATGGATAATTTAGTACTGATCGATTGATAAAAAAAAAATAAAATCGAAATCCACGTATTCCTATCCATTCCATTAACCGAGTTCACTCCATTTATTTCTATGATGTTATTCTTTTACACTTAGCTTTTGATTACTATAATGCACTATAGGCTCTTACACTATAAGCGTTTTCATCTAATATTCATAAAGTAAAAGTAGTCAATTTCAAATCGTAATAGCAGAGAATTGAAGTCATTTGATATTAGCAAATTATTTATGAACAATGACAAAATATTATTAATAAATAAGAAAAAGTTGGGTGGGATGTACAACTGTATTGATAATAGGATCATCAAATAAACATTATGCGCGAGGGGTGGGGTTTAACGACCACCCAACAAAAATTAGTTCATTCCAGGACTTAACACGTGGTATAATTTTGTTTCAAAAATTCGCTTGCACGCAGTGGGGGGAAACTCGCGAGGTTACGCAGACGACCGAATTCATCATTGTCAAGTGTGGGATCGAAACTACGCCACTTGACTTAATGATAAACCCTCTATACTTATTATGTAGGTTTATCGCAATTCAATATCACCATCGTTTGTCCACACCTTTATCTTTGAAATAACTGAAATATCTATGTTATTATATTAGGAATAATACAATATGTTTTGTATTGATATCATTAAACAAGTTCCCACACGATCAGACAAGGTGTTTTATACTGAACTCACCCAGGAGTAAAATCCACACACATTGCAATTGACAATCAAATAAATAAACACAATAGTCTTGATTATTATCTGATCAGTCAGATCTCCAACAGCTCAAAAAATGATTGAACTGCAATGACCCCCAAAAGCCATTTGACCGTTAAACATAAAAAACGCGTATATAAGTATATAAGAACCGTCAACTTAATTTAATGGCTCTAGTAAATTGAACATAAAACTAGATTCATCATGAAATCAAATTTGGGTCCACTACCGTCTAGTATTCAGACATAGAAATTCAAATCTAGAATGGCTAGCTCCATTGTTGACCGGGATAAAACATACCAGGATTAGGGTGGTGTCGAAGCCTACTTTTTATATGACAACCTGTTATGATTTTTTTTAAATACTCAAATATATGACCTTAGGCTATTTAAGTGTTAGTAAATATTTGAATTGGCTAGAATAAAACCAAATCAATTAACGTAGCGTGGGGCAGCTACCGATCCATTTGCCAAAGGTGTTAAATATACAAAAGCACATCAGTGAGTGTTAGGTATATAAACCTTCCAAATGAAAATTAAGTTTTAACAAGAATTCCGAATATGGAACAGCTATGGTTTGTAAGAAGAATGCCAGGAACCAGTCTCAACTATTAGCAATAGCTAAATGGTAATGTACACTTTGATCAAATAACTGCGTTTCAGAAAATGGCATCGATGGGGTGTGGGGGCAGTTGAAACAAAACAGAAGAAACAACATTTGCTTTTCAAAGCAGAATGTTTATTTGATTATATTGAGGTGTGTGTCTACCTTACTCAACAATACGTTATCCTCAGAAGAAGAAATATCAACAAACAGAAGCAAAATTTCAAGTATACAAGCACTTGAGAATTTTGTCTTAAACATGTCAATGCGTCGTGTGTGCCAGAAATTGGGATTACGAGCTCTTCTTCATCTTTTTTTTTTAATATCACAGCTGTTATAACGTTGTTCTTTTCTGATGCACATGTAAAGTAATATATCTTTGTTACGTTACTGTTAAGAATCATTTGGCGATTATGTAAATTTTCCAAAATTTGTTTTCACTCACCAATGATGTAATATTAATTTGTTTACACAGGTACACGTGTATAAGTACAGCTTACTATTAGTAACTATAAGTTTTTTTTCTGGAATCTAATCCAATAATCTACAATAAA